AACATCATGTATTGGACAATTTCTAGGTGTTATTGAGTATTTAAAGCATGGGAACACGGTCGGTTCCAAATGAATTCCTGTGCTTCAAATACTCAATAACACCCGGAAATTGGCCACCACGTGATGTTTATCTCCTAATTGCTCAGTGTGAAGTTACACAACAAAACACAAACACTTGTCAACAACAAAAAAGTGATCATCCCAAGTGAGTGAATGAGGCATGTTTTACACCGCTTTTAGTTTAGCAATATTCCAACAATATGGCAGGGGACACCAGAAATGGGCTTCACCCATTGTACCCATGTGGGGAATCGAACCCGGGTCTTCAGACTGACTGACTGACTGAGTTTGGTTTTACGCCGCTTTTAGCAATATTCCAGCAACATCACAGCGTGGGACACCAGAAATGGGCTTCACACATTGTACCCATGTGGGGATTCGAACCCGGGTCTTCGGCGTGAAGAGCCAACGCTTTAACCACTAGGCTACCCCACCGCCCCTGATCACCCCAACCATGTGTGCAATCAGCGTTATGCCATGGGCCATTAGCAACTGAGGACATCAAAAGTGAGATTAATGGCTGCACCCCTACCTTGCATTAATTAACACCGAGCTAATTAACTTTGAAACATTCTCAGCTTATCAATATAAACCCAAACAAATAGTGTCAGTAAAATAATTTATTGTATATCCTATTCAAAAGGCTTCAAAATAGAAGTATGTTAAAATAAATATAACTGCATAGTAAATTATACATAACATGGTGACAAAAGCATGAAGAACACAGTAACCATAGTAACCCTGTCTCGGGAGAAGAACGGACATCGAGTACATGAAACAGTCTAATAGTACTACATTTGAATTCATACCAGTTCCGTAATGACATACCAAGCCATATAGAAAACTACAGCTGATACAAGAAAACATTCACACACAAAACACTCAGAATATCAGTAACCCAGTTTGTCAGAAGAGGCGACTAAATTTAACAGGATTGGGTGGTCAGACTCGCTGACTTGGTTGACACATGTCATTGTATCCCAATAGCGTAGATCAGTGTTCATGTTGCTAGAAGTGTGTTGTTAAGGCCAGACCAATTTCATTTCTTGTTTTACGGATTTTTGTCCTCAGAAAACCTAAAGGCAGGAGGGAAAAAAATAACAAATAAAAAACACCAGTCAAAGTTATATTCTTTTTAAATACTAAAAGTATTTTACTTTTGACAATTTATGAAGTATATATGGGGCAAAAAACAATCTAAAAACATTTTCTTGCACATTTACATTTTTGGCCAATAAAAATATTATAACTTTATTTTTTTGAGCAGGGAAAATTATTATTATTTTTTTTTTCTTATTCCTGAAAAAATACGGTCGGCGGATCCGTAAAACAAGAAATAAAATTGGTCTGGCCTAAACAACAGCCACAAAAGACTTCTGAGCTTTCTCCCTCTATGATAATATTAGCAATGATTGTTCTATTATTTGAGCATTTGCACCAATTAGGTTGCATAATCAGAATTCAAAGGTTCTTGGCAGTGACTTCATAATTACCTGGACATTTTGAGGCAGGGTGAAAATCTTTCTATTTTCTGTTTTAAGCCAGATTTTTTTCACTTCACATAAAATATCTTCAACCTAAGAGAAAGATCTCTTCAAACGTGATTGTCATCTTTGCTAAGTGACTTTTAAATTGCTACCTTTCAATCGCTATCCAACTGCTAACTTGTCAAATGAATTTGTTTTCTCATATTAAAAGTTCTTATATTTAAAGCATCAAATTACCGACGAAAAGTTATGGTTTTAGTGTAAAAGATTTATCAGGTATATGAAGTTTTGTTCTCTGTTGGTGTATGCACAGAGAAACACAGTCTTGTATTCACTACATTCCTCAAACCAATCATAAAGGACAACAACTGCAAAGTGCACCTTTCAAAGCCTCTGTGTCCTGCATCATGACAGGAATTAATTTGTTTTGAATTACTAAAATCCATGGCAAGTGTTCATGAAACCACATCAAGTGTACTTGCCATGATGTTTCCATATGAAAACAGCAATGTAGGAGAGATTCTTTTGAAAGTTAAATTACGATTTTTTTTACATGTCATAAATTACAATTTTTCTCAAAGAAATATTTTTTACAGATGAGGTGTTAGTCAAATATACTCCTAAAATATCTACTTTAAACAACAATGTTGTGAACAGTTAAGTAAACTACACGAATACATGTCTATTTAATAGCTTCCTGAAACACAATTTTAATGGCCATCAGAGTGAGTGAGTATGGTTTTACGCTGCTTTTAGCTATATTCCAGCAACATCACAACTGGGGACACCAGAAATGGGCTTCACACATTGTATCCATGTGGGGCATCAAACCTGGGCCTTCGGCGTGATGAGTGAACGCTTTAACCACTGGGCTACCCCATCGCCCTTAATGGTGACCAGACTGACTGAGTTTGGTTTTACGCCGCTTTTAGCAATATTCCAGCAATATCACTGCGGGGGACACCAGAAATGGGCTTCACACATTGTACCCATGTGGGGATTCGAACCCGGGTCTTCGGTGTGACGAGCCAACGCTTTAACCACTAGACTACCCCACCGCCCTTAATGGTGACCAGAACATACAGCACGGTATGAAGACTTCAATTACAGTTTGATTAAATAGTGGCTTCAGTTAAAGCACAAACGAGTACATATCGACTTCAAATACAGCAAATTGATTACATGGTGACTTCAAATAAAGCACAGATTGGATTACATAGTGACTTCAAATACAGCACAGATTTATCACATATTGACTTCAATTACAGCAGACTGATTACATATTGACTTCAATTACAGACTGTCAGTAACAGGTACTGCCTTTCTTCACTGAAACAATAAAATTAAGGTAACATTATATGTTACACATACATTTTGTTTACTCAAGGGGAGATGACTGTTTATCAACATGAACCTCTTCAACTTCAAAGCACCCAGTTGTCTTCATCTTTATTGTAAAGAAAATGATATTTTTACATGGTAGTGTTTTAAGTAGTTTAAAGAAATGGATTATGATAAACTCATTCATATATTTGTTTCAGTTCTGAATGTGCAGCAATTTTCCATTAAGACATGTTCTCAATGATATACAAAAATATTGACAGTATAACAAAATCAAAGCTAAATATTTATCTGAAACACCAGCATTGTAAAAACGCTGTCAACACAGTGATAGATACCGTCAACAACAACAGCAGTTTCATATAAGTACACAGCAGCCTCGCGTAAGTACAGAGCCATAACACAAACAGAGTTGTCCCCCTTTAATTGAAGTCCATAAACCTAACTCAAGGTCACTAGGCTACCCCATATTGTACCCGCCCCAAGGAACAAGAGCACTATTCCTGAATACATAAGTAAACTGTATGCAAAGCTGACTAAGAAAAAAGTGCATAGAATTTCTTCCAAAAAATATGTGAAAATGACATATATTTGATTTGCTCTATTTCTTTCCACTTCTTTAATGGGTTTGTGGACCTTGCTCTTCCTAGAAGATCAAGCTTTCCCCTTCTACATGCTACTTTATACACACAGGCATACCGATGGAAACCAATCCATCCCAGAAACAAATCCATAATTTGCCATCATTGTTTAATGCTTCTTTAAGTTACTGCTAGGTGGCAAGATTTTGACACATTGTATTGTGGCTAAACTATTTTGATACAATACTCTTGAACTTGAGCGTTAAAGCAATTAAGGGGTAATTTATCACACAAATGAAAGAGTGGGAGTAAAACAGTCAAGGGGAGGTAACTCCATAGAGATATGCAAGTAACAACCAAAGGCAGATAACTCATCAAAACCGGGTTCCATCTTGTTTAACTCGATATCACAATATAGCATAGTTAAATAGGGACACACCATCCACAAAATTATGCTTTGTCTGCAAAGGTGCTACAAACAGTATTCCAGAAAAACAAATGAAATATTGAGGTGTACTGTAGATCAGTACTTACAGAGACAGTTGTACTCTGAGGCAAGAGTACAGGTTTAAACAGTCAAGGTTGGTGCTGGTGTAGGTGCTGAGGTTATTTCTACTCTGGCCTCCAAATAAGCATGGTACTGCTTAAAGTCAGTTCATACAGCCTCTTCAATACAACACAGATTGGAATCAGTGTTTAAAACTCAAAAATTCCAAGCCAAACAGCCGGACTGATAACTTAAAAAAAATACCAGTCCAGATAAAATAATTCCTGTCCGGTTTTCAATAATAAACTGAAATTACACGTGTTGTGATTGGTTATCGTAGCTTGAACTGTCCAATCGTAAGTAGTTTAATATAATTTTCATAATACCCTTAACACCTCAAACTGACAAGAGAACATGTCTGATGATATGAAATATATACTGTTAGGGGTATAAATATCTACCAGACCACCGGACAGGCTACTTTTGAAATTTGACAGTCCGAGATGAAAGTAAACCGTTCTGGACGGTCGGGCAGGCGGGAATTTTAACGCTGTTGGAATACGCTGCCTTCACCCACGAAAAGATATAGTTGCTGTTTTCAACCAACAAATCAAGAAGAACCCTTCTTTAATCGAAACGGTGCCAAGAGAGATCAGGCCAATGAGCATTAAGCTAACTGCACAAACGGTTTAATTTCTTGCTTGTCATCGTGTACAACATGCACCATACACTTGTGAGCGTCTGCTCTCTGTATTGCTTCAATTACTTCCGTATTACTTAAAGCCCATGGTAGGGTTTATTTGACTTTAGTAGGTTTAAACATACTGATTTCATTAAAACATCACACTTAGCATGTGGTCGCATGTACTAATATATGACAGAAAATACAATGTAAACCGACCCTTGAAGTGTTGACCACAGTGAAAATTCAGTAGCAATGTAACTTCTCCAGGCTAAAACTTCATTTACATGTATAATAGCACTTGATCCTTAAGTGTCAACTATAAACACTTTCACATAGTTTTATGGGTTTGAGGAATTTCCAACATCTCACTGTACTTTAAAAATAATTACTAGTCAGTACAAATGACTTCACTGTAGTAACTCACTGGCTATAATCTGCCTCGATTGCGTTAAGATTTGTTTAACAAACTTGAAGCACACACTGTCCTGCAAGATCATCTCAAACAAGTGACCCGAGTGAAGAAATTATATTTCTAACAATTTCAAACCAAGATTACTTCAGGTGAAAAGAGCCGAATGCATTATTATATCTGTAAATGCATTATTCTGACAGCCCCAGTAACTATGGTAACACAGTTTTTGTGTTTTATTGATAAGCCTCTGTTGGAAAAATAGGAAAAAAATACTTTGAAAATAAAGGTTTGATAGAAAATATGAATAATTTGAACTTTTTTCATATCTAAAGAAAACTACTCAATCCTGATTAAACTTTGAACAAATATTTTGCCTTATCAAAAAACATTATTTTTAAAGAAACTAAAACTGACCAGGCTTAATGTTATCAAGTCAAGTGATCGGTTTCAGAGTAATCACAGATTTTCTCTGCATAAAAACAGCATCCTATCAACAAACAGATATTTGAATTTGAATGAATTGAACAAAAGGCCATCATAATTCATCCTTTTTCTGTTTTGGTTCAAAAGCCCAGAAAGACGAGGACAGTCCTTTGGTGTCTCGTTCCCTCTTGGCGAATGCTGTAAATGTTGAGATACAGTTTCCTATGAAGTGGTCCGCCTTGCCAAGAATAGCAAGGTCAAGGTGAGGGCTGGCTGGACTTCCCTGCTTCACAAACTTCACCTGAAAATAGAAAATTACATGAAAATAGAAACAACAAAAATCTTTTTACATCTGTATGAAATCTCTGCTAAAAGCAGACTCAATTGTACAGTTCTGACTATATCATGAATATGTCTTTGTTTGATGCCTCTTCAGCAATTTTACAGCTGTACGACATGGTCAGTAAAAACTCACCTCTGGACCAGACAATTCAGTGATTGACACTATGAGAAATGATGACTGAGCATGTGTTTATGAATCACCATCAAATAGTTATGATATTATATGTGTTTGTGAAAAGTTCTTCAAACGTGCTTTTTCCAAAATGGTTCACGAAATTCACACTGGATCAATTCATTAACATACCTTCATCGAGAGGCTAACAGATGTTAAATGTAACCCAGTTCTAAAAAATAGCTGGCCAGTCAAATTAAATGTAATTGGTCATTTGATTTAACAAGCAGTTGACTGTATGAGCATCCCTTCCAAAATTGGGACACAATGGTACAAAATCTGCCAGGTCACATATGGAAAGTCCCCATTTACCCAAGAATCAACACTGTGAGACTAGTAAGGAATAACCAGAGGTACAGATAAGCTTGGTATCTGCGTAAATTATGCAAATATTTATTTGAAAACTCAATTCCTGTTAAGTCTATTGCATACAAGTACGCTTGAAGTTTTGTAAATACCCAATAAATGTGATCTTAGATGCGTACACACAAAAATGTCAAATCTTAGCTTGCGTACCGGTGGATAGATAAAATAACTGACGTATATTTAAAGGTTCTATTTTAGGACATGAACTTGACACCTTGTAGTCTTTCTTATCGTTTCTCATATTACAGATCAAATGTAAATCACAAACACCAACATTTAAACTTTTTTTATATTTTTAAAATTAATGGAAAATGGCAAAATACCCAATTGAGTTTGAGTGTGGTGAGTACAATTTATTTGGTTACTCAAAGGAAAATTAGGATACCCAATTGAGATGAAGACAAGCGAGTACATAACTCAATGAACCCAAAAGTTATCTGTAGCTCTGATAACTCAAAGACACATAAAATTTCAAAAGTACCTTTTTCATGGCTTTTTGCATGACATCTATTAAATCCCTGTCGTCTGTGGCAACAAAAACTGTTCCAGCATTTAACCGTTTCACCTCAGCCTTGACCTTCTTAACAACACTTTTATCCGATGGGTAACATGTTTCCTTGGTTGCCTTTCCCTTTTCACCTCGGTAGCCGATGCACTGAGGAGAAGCGAACATATTTTCCGAGCTGTCCATGTGTTCACACGCTCTTTTCTGCAACAGAGAAGGGACAAAGATAGCATAGCATTTGCCAACAAGAAATGTTGTATCAAGGTATAGTCTGTTTGGGTCAAAATAATACTGATGAATCACAATCTAACTCCAAATTGGTTCATGATCAAACATTAATTTCAACGCATTTCAACCAAAAAAGAAAGTTACTTAACAAACTATCATCATTTTATTTGATTTTCCAGGGAAGTTTTACGAGAGTAAAGTAACAGTATCTGAAAAGAAAGATGAATGTACCAGAATCATGGAATATTGGTCAGACATAGAACTTACAAAATCAATGCCATTTCTGAGATGAATCCCAATAAAAGGCTTGTCTTTTATATTTTTTTGCAATGAAATCGTCCGCCATTTTCTCATACTTGTCCGACCAGCGGACATACTTCTGTAGTGGCACGTCTGCCCTCTGGACGGGGAAGGCTCCGGGGGGTCCTGTGAAGGCAAGCACCGGGTATTTGTCCCCAGGGTATCTGAAATTAACAATACATGTATTAATATTTATTATTATTATAGGATATTTTATATAGCGCAGGGGCGGTGGGGTAGCCTAATGGTTAAAGCGTTGGCTCGTCACGCCGAAGACCCGGGTTCGAATCCCCACATGGGTACAATGTGTGAAGCCCATTTCTGGTGTCCCCCGCCGTGATGTTGCTGGAATATTGCTAAAAGCGGCGTAAAACCAAACTCAGTCAGTCAGTCAGTCAGTTTTTACATCTGGTCACAGGTGGGCTTGATCCCAGCACCTCCAAGCTCACTGGATCCCTAGCCAGGCGCCTTAGACAGCTCGCCCACCATACACTTACATGTACCAATGATACATACTGAATTATTTTGAATGGCCTTTCTAAATAGGCCAAACTTCCAAACAAAGATGTTGTTTAACACTTGGGTCAGCTATGTCTCAAGCAGTGTTTGCCCTTAACCCTGAAAAGCTGCAGGCCCTAAGGACCCAGAACCATAAAAAAGAATTGCGAGTCCAGATCAGAATGTGGAGGCTACAATTACTTTATCACAGCCATGTTGATGGTTCAGGCTCATAACGCCGACCTTTCGACCAAACTTTACGGTTGATTGAAATATAAAGGTCGACGTCCTGAGACTAGTTTCATTTTGCCAATTAATTATGGATTACGAGGACAATGCAGGATCAAAGAGTTGTTAGAGGAGGATAATCCGGATTATGCGGACGAGAGCGCACCTAATGAGAAGATGACAACAGATGACAGATTTTTATCAGTTGACAGATTTTAGCATTTTTAATAAATACATCGTAAATTCATATAGCATACATTTTTTCACAGATTTTAACCTAAATGCAATAGGTGGGATGCTGAATCAGCAAACTGCCTCACGGACAGTGTTCCTTATTCAAGCCGGTGACAAATGTCATCCAGTCGTCGCTCCAAATCCCTGTATTTCCTCTTCTTGGACGGACGCTTCTGGCCAGCAGCATACTGAACCAGCTTGTTTTCGGTGTTGGTCTGTTCTCGTGACAGCAACGACACAATCTCGAAAATGTTTGGATGAGCCTTGCCGACGTATTTCTTCATGCCACCCTTCTAGGTGGTTGTTTGTTCTTGGCCCATCTGTGTTGTGGTGGTTCCATTGCGTCATGTGCAGATCTCCCTCCACCCAGAAGTTGGTCATGTAGTCTCAGAGTTTTCTCGTTTTCTCTTGCTGACTCTGTACATGAATGCGCCATCAACCAAGTAACGACTGCCGCGAGCTGTAGGGATGAATCCCTGATCTAGCTGTGCATTTGCCATTTCGAAATCGAATGTGAATCCTTTGGCCATTCCATAGATATTTATACCAAAGATATGAACAATGTTCAATATTGGCACTCTACTAACCCAGCGGGCACACAACGTTGAATCAACGTTGAATCAACGTTGAATTTTGGTTGTTTGGTTGATCAACCTTTCATCAACGTTGATTCAACGTTTATCATGCGACCAAAGAAAGTTAGTCGAGATTCGTTTAGTTGTCAACGTTGTTTCAACGTAAGGAACCAACAAAATGTCAACTAATTGTTTCCTTGGCAAATTTGATACATAATTCATATTGGTAATAGGTATCCAACTTAGCAACTATCATTTCTGAACATTATTTTCATAAAAGATCAAGATCGAGCTAGTGACAGATATAATCTTATATATTATTTGATTGTGCATCGATCAACAGACGGAAATTTTACGTAAATCGCAGTTTTAGGTTTAAAGTCATCAGTTATCCAAATTGCATTACATTTAATATTTTCCCACAAAACTGTGAAAATTGTATAATTCCGACAATTTGCTTTCAAACACAAAGCCAGATGTTGACCTTTCGATCGCCTCGTTTGGCCATATCCGGACATGCGCACAATTATCGCTCGCAGCGCAAAGGCAGCTGATCGTTGTCAGTTCACTTTTGGCGAAGTTCAGCGCATAATATCGTTCTATTTTCACCATCTTCACGGCATGCTGGTGTTTATTTGGTAAGTATGTCCTTCATGTATAATGAAAACGTAGGAATGCCGTTTAAATCTAGCAGTAGCAAGAAACTCGAATTAGGGCTCATGTTTTATCTCACAAGGTTACGGTATGTCACAATACATGTTTCTCAAAATTTAGTGGAAGCCCGTGTTTTCCATGAACTTGTTTTGTTATTTTTCAATATATTTGCATGCATATATTTGGCATTTTATTTTATAATCGAATAAGATTTCCTTTCATTACCCATCACCTGATTTGAATTTTGCAAATATACATTTTCAAATAATCAATAAAGTACATCAATATAAGGAACCGTTCATAATTAAACTTATGGCTGCGGGTGGGGGTGTTGATTGTAAGGGTTGGAGGGTGGGGTGGGGTGTCACCCATTTTGTTCAGGGGAGCTAAGGGGTCAGCATTTTTGTACACACGCACTATGTTTAGAAATTATGGGAAGGGGAGGGGCGTCATAGATAATGTACATGACATGCAGGGTGGGCCGTCTCTTATTCTGTACATACTCATACACTTTAGGGTGGGTGGGGTGGGGTGGGTGTAATTCGTATTGTACATAAAAATCAACATCACCCCAAAGCCATACATTATGAACGGTCCCTAAGGGCAGCTATACAAAATCGGATAAGATTAATCAACATTTTATATTGCATCCCATTATTATGAACATTTGTTCGTTTGAATAGATCTATCACTAAATGATGCATTGAGCACGCCCTGAACCCTGTCAACATATCTATATTATTGGGGGGAGGGGGTGGTGGAGAATGGCGTTAGGAAATGCAACGAAAATTTTCACTTTAAAATGTCTTGTGAAAGTCTTTGTTAAGGATGAAATTGTATATAATTTATTTGAACTTTTATTTATTTATTAAAAGTGTAACTTCACTAATGATTCTTTGATGGGACAATTAACAAAACTGCACCCACAGACTTTCATTCTTACACTTGTTTGGAAGGGATATGATAATTCATGTCTCTTAAAGGTTAAAATCTTACATACAAAAGAAGTAATTTTAATGTAAGGAACATTTAATTATGAAATAAGATTATTTTAATGGAATTTGCAGAAATCTCATCTTCGAAGACTGGGTGGCAGCAATTTTGTGGATCACATAAAAGGAGCAAGGTTAAAACACGCGTTTTAACATTTCACTTGTTTCCAGTATATCCACCACAAAGTTTAAAGAGAAAGATGATAATGCTCTTTCATTACCAACTGTTTTGAATATTTGTGATAATGTTTGGTCTTTTTGGTGATAATAGTTAGATCTTTATTTTCATTTATATATTAAGGTTGATCATTTAAGAGAAAAAATTGACAATCATTTCTCCCGGAGATGTTTAGTTTAATGAGCACTCCCTTGCTTGGCCATATTGTTTTTCGCCGTAAACAGCTGGATGCAAGATAGCATCTTGAGAGGACAGAAGTCATACATTTATAGATATATAGAGATGTTTATTGCTGGGAAACACTCTTGGGTATTTGGTCAGCTGTAGAATTTGAATATGATGTTTTTATTATTGTCAAAGGGTAGGTTTTCATTATTTGCAATCTAATATGTGTGCAGTGAAACATACTGAGATTTGGAAGAGTCCATTATTTAAAGTACAGGTGTTGTTAGATATCAGCATTTTATGTACATGTTCCCTTGTTAAGATCATCTATCGAAAGTATATTAGAGAGAAGGTGTATATTTGTAGTGTTTTAAATCAGAGTTATTTTCAGTGTATGACCTACATTTCAATATGTTTTGGCCACCTGTCACCTTTGGTCAAATAGAGTAGAACTTCCATTTCTTGGAATTGAGAGTCAGCGATGCACTGTTTCCAAGAATTTATTATTGCCAGCGATGTTTGTTCTGAGTACATTTAAGTCTTTTGAGTGTAGATTGGAGTTGTAAGAGATGTTATTCAATGTCTTATTATTAATGGTATGATAGATTATTTCTGGCAATGTAGAGTTTAATCTCATTATTTTATTGTTCATGATTCAGAGAAGCATAGTTATGGCGTCGCCGATATCACGCACACATAATTCATTATATGAGAGATTTTTCTAAAGCGTTCCTATAAGAGATTAAGTGTAAACATTTATGAATTATAAAAAGTTATTTATCTGAGTTTTATGAGTGTACAAATGACAAAGAGAGAGAGAGAGTAGATAATAGAGAATATATTGTATACTTATGAGAGCTCATTATTGTTTTCAGAACTCCATGATCCATGCTTCCTTGTGTTTGGGAACAAATGGTGTTGGGAGACCTCCCACTTTAGACTTGTTCTTTGACCTGTGAACCACCACCCATTTTGTTTTCTTATCATTTAATGTAAAATGGCTTTTGTTACAATTTATGACTCCTGGTAGCAAAATTGCTACATCAGTTCAACTCCTATTAATTTGAAATAATCATTTCCGAGAATCTCTAAAGAAAACTAAATCTGACAGAATAACAACAATCTTCCATTGTTTTGCAGGACAATGTCAAACAATTTGATGTCAAGAATGAATGTTGATGGGCAAAACGGCAAGTTTTCTTTTAAGAATACAAGGTTGTATTCAATCATCTCTGGTAAGTTAATTACCAAGTGCAGCATTTTCATCATGACCATAGCAAATAATATATGACAGTAAAGCATCGTCTAATTCATCCTACCGGTAATTCATAGTCTAATTAAATAATCAACTTGCAATTGAGGATTTTCTTTGAAAATGTTTAAGAAAACTTCCATTCCTTCGGGTTGAAAATATAAATTGTTTACACTTTTCGTCATATTTTGTATTGATGCTGTTCATATGTTCACATGCCAAGTTACAGCAGTGAAATGAACCTTTCAAGTGATTGATTAAACAAATACTTGAATCAATTAAGACAATATATCTTCCATATAACTTATTCATGTATTTAAATATAAAATTTCAGAATGTGTCCTATCTCAAGGGAATGAGATGGGAATGCATCCGAAGCAAATTTCAAGAAAGAGTTCGGAACATTTCTGAAGTATTCACCTGACCGCCAGGCAGGGAGTGGCAGAAAGAAGAGGAGCTGATAATTGTGTTTTTGGAGTTGGAATTGTGTTGAAAAATCTGAACTGTGGTATAGAAATTGGTGGCGTAAATGTCACTTTGATGCTATATGCAGATGATATTGTGTTATTAGCACAACAGAGATCACCTACAGACTATGTCATGTGTGATGTTTTACATTATGCATTAATCCACGTTTTCTGTGTGCGTGTGTGTTCATAAAGATTTCATGAAAAGTGACTTGTTTTATGTGCTGTCTTCAGGTATAGTTCCTGGTCATCTTGGATCCCTTTCATGGTGAAAGTAATTGCATTGTGTTTATTCAGGGGTCTGTAAAAGAGCTGAAATTCAGACAAAATGTCTTCTCGGGACAATTTTCACCTTTTCAAGGTAACAATACAACAGTAAATAGTTTTTCTTAATTTGGAATACTCTTTTCTTCTTACTGGAATTATACGTCCAACTGACATAAAACTTAAATGAACATTATATTGAATGTGGAATTTTAACCAAGTATTTTATCAGGTAAATATTTTTACTGCAATTTTCTGTTTGAACACTGTTTATTGCAGGTAGCTTTTTGGGTATTTTAGCTGGATGCAGGAGTTTGGTGCTACTTTATTGTAGTTTAAAGATGAAGTGCGAGTCTATTTACAGGAAAGCGTTATACCTCCCAGAGACAACCACGGAACAACCCATTTTCAACGTTAATAATATGTCAGACTTCAACATTGATTCCACGTCGGATATCTACGTCAAAAAACTTTCATATACAACCTATTTTCCATCTATTTTCAACGTTGAGGATCAACCTATTCTCAACGTTGATAATCGGTCAAACTTCAACGTTGATTCCACGTCGGATATCTACGTCAAAAAACTTTCATATACAACCTATTTTCAATCTATTTTCAACGTTGAGGATCAACCTTTTTTCAACGTTGATAATCGTTCAAACTTCAACGTTGATTCCACGTCGGATATCTACGTCAAAAAAAACTTTCATATACAACCTATTTTCAATCTATTTTCAACGTTGAGGATCAACCTATTCTCAACGTTGAAACAACATTGATGTGCCTGCTGGGTAAGTGTTATTGTAAACTTTTCAATCAATTGGAAGTGACATGTGCGACGAGTTCACCTTATCAAAACATCTAGAGCAGATTATCCGCAACGCTAACTAAGCCTAATCAGAACCTAACCTTCAAAGGAAACCGCAGGTCGGCGTCCTGAGACTAGTGGAAAATCGAAAGGTCGGCGTCCTGAGACGACACCATGTTGATACTGATACTCTTTTAACTTGAATTTCTGCTTTATTCTAAACATAATGAATCAAGCGACTTACTATGTCCTAATGCATTTTGTTTGTTTACATAGTTTCATTCACAAGAACCCAAAACAGATTTACCACTGAAATAACAAATAGAATGATGGGTGTTTAATCAAGGGAGGCAACTCCATCCCAAAGGATGGACATATATAACTCTGACTTTTTCAGCCAATCATGGAATGTTAACTGTCACATGAGCTTGCTCTTTACAGTCTACTCCCATTTGTGAGAACTCCCAGTTGTGAGACTCCGAGTTGTGAGACAGTGGAGTAGGTACTTAGAAAAGAAAACACACCTTACTCCCCTATCTGATAGAATGGATTAACCCCAGCTAATTATGGATTAGCTATTTAACTGAATCTTGTGGAGGTAACTTAATGAAACTCTAAAAGATAAAGTAATTAACCTACTCAGATAAATGGCTTTAAAAAATAAACATTTTGTGTAGGTAACTTCGTGATCATTTGAAAGAGAAATTAATTTACCTACTCAGATTTACATGTTTGAAATATCTAGCAATAACTGTTGTAACTATAATTAATCCAAATGTATTTATTAACCTTTGACTGCTCTTTCACCATTATGGCAGGCCTTCAACAAGTAGAATATATCACCAGTTCACGATAATCTTTTTCAGTATTTAAGTATCTATTGAAAACAATAAAGGCTCTTCAACGAACAATGTCTTCTGCGTTAATTAACTCATTAATGAACTATGCCTCCTGCAGGTACTCTTCAGCAACAGGGCTGTTCCCACTTTCATAGTAGGGATGGGGAAGCACCACCTGTGTGCACTGAACCATTAATTAATGTGTCTCACAACTGGGAGTTCTCACAAATGGGAGGACACCGCTCTTTACAGCTGCGCCAGTGCATGTTGCAAGTTGCAGGTACGCAAGATAATCGTACATGTCACTGTGACCTAGAATAATTCTCAACTCAAATTACAGAAATCGCTAACCTGTAAGCATTACTTTACCTGAAGTTAGATTAGACAATGTTCATTCATAAATGCTAGATGTATCTGTCAATATTAAACAAAGGTATTACATAAAACTGCTTACCTTTTCTGCCAGCGTTTCATTTCATGGGCACTGCCAGTATCATAATAGAGAGGGGAAAAGAACTCCGACATGTCAAAGTCGATGTTGTACGTATCCCAGAAGGATGCAAATGGGTTGCCTTCTTTTGCATTACAGTCATTCTTTTTCTCCATATGTCCGCTCACTGTGACAGAATGCTGCAAATAACCACAACACCTTGTCAGACACAGCACAATGTCAGACACAACATCATGTCGGATACACAACAATGTCAGTCAGACACAACACTGTCAACCAATATAGTGTCAATCATATACAGCATAATTTCATACTGACACAGAACAATGACACTCAGTCACAACATAATGTCTGCCACAGTCAAAATTATGACATTCAGATAAAACATAATATCAGTGCGACTCTACAAATGTTAACTTTTCAGTTAAAATGGCTAAATCCACATAAAGTCAGACCAATTTTATTTCTTGTTTTACAGATTTTTGTCCCAGAAAACCTAAAGGCAGGAGGAAAAAAAAAAAAATACATGTTAAAATAAAATCACCAGTCAACGTGATATTCCTTCTAAATACTTTAAGTATTTTACCTTTGGCAATTTATGAAGTGTATATGGGGCAAAAAAACAATCTAAAACCCCTTTTTTTTGTAAGTTTACATTTTTTATCAATAAAAACATTAGGATATTAAGTTTTCAGCGGGGAAAATTAATTTATTATTTTTCATATTCTTGAAAAAATATGACAGGCGGATCTGTAAAACAAGAAATAAAATTGGTTTGGCCTTAAGAATGATTTATAACTACTATGGACAATGAAAACCCCAACAATATCCCTTTCTTCTTATAAGGTCAATATAATTAATGATTACATAGTAACTTTTATTTGAATATTCAAATTGGAGTCAATCAGTGCTATGACTAGGTGCCTTCTTAAAGTAGGTTTGAATCTTAAGTTAGCTGCTTTAGTGTTGGAAACACAAAACCCAATTTTACTTTTGACAAAGACCCACTGTATCACTGAACGTACATATGCGCTGTCCCGGCGGCCACAGTGTCGGCGCCAGCTTCTTCATAAACCACTCCATAGTGATGACGCGATGGAACTTGGCTACCTCGCTAACTTTGAAGTATGTATCGAAAGCCACTTGGACCTGTGTGAGAAAGAAAAGATATTTAGAAATTAGGAACAAACTTAGACCACTGCAACATAAAGGTGTCAACCTCATAAACCGGAGACTGCAGAAGCTATGTCTGATAGCCAGTCTAAATATTGGGCAGGGGTGAGCGGTGCGGTAGCCTAGTGGTTAAAGCTTTTGCTCGTCACGCTGAAGGCCCGGGTTCGATTCCCCATATGGGTACAATGTGGGAAGTCCATTGCTGGTGTCCCCCCACCGTGACATTGCTGCAATATTGCTAACAGCGGCGTTCAACTCACTCACTCACTATTGGTAATATCAGTTCCACCAAATGACCATAATGCTTTTCTGGTTGTTGTTTACCACCCCACTCAGCAATATTCAAACTATATGATGGCAGTCTGTAAATAATTGACCCTGGACCAGACAATCCAGTGACTGACATGAGTGTTGATCTATGCAGTTAAGTTTGGATACAGTGATATGCATCAACCGAGTCAGTGACCTCAACCAGCCAACCCTGTTAGTCGCCGCGTCCAGAGAGCATAGGTGAGCAAAAATGGGGTGTTGAAGTCAGTGAACCAAGTCGCTTGACCACCAAATCTCATTTGTCGCCTCTATCAACATAGATTGCTGAAGACCAATTCTAACCCAGAACGTCACGGTTATTAAGTGAGTGAGTGAGTGAGTTTAGTTTTATGCCGCACTCAGCAATATTTCAGCTATATAACGGCGGTCTGTAAACAATTGAGTTTGGACAAGAAAATCCAGTGATCAATAGGAGCATCGATCTACACATTTGGGAACCGATGACATGTGTCAACTGAGTCAGTGAGCCTGACCACCCGATCCCGTTGGTCGCCTTTTACGACAAGCATGGGATGCTGAAGATCAATTCTAACCCAGATCTTCACAGGTTCACGGTTATTAAAGGACCATTAACATTTTACTGATCAATCAGACACTGAGATTGGGGACAAAACAACCAGCTTGTATTGTTGAACTTGCCAACTGAACATTGAGACTAGATTGGAGCAGATACATTACACTGAGTGACATGGCAAACCAATTCGCGAATGAAAATCAAGGGCAGGTAATTTGAGAGCAGCAGGAATAGATCCAGGGTTGAGTGTTGGTTTACTGAAATGTCAGCCTTTGAGGATCACTTTGGAAATTTCCAGGTCAGTGAATCATCAAAAGATGTGATTAAGTGGGGGTTTATGCCGCTTTTAGCAAAAATTCAGCAATATCACGGTAGGGGACACCAAAAATGGGCTTCAACATTGTACCCATGTGGGGAACTGAACTGAACCTCAAGGCTACCCTAAGGCCACAAATCATAAAAGAAGTAATCAAGCACTCACTATTACAGTGAAGAACATGTTTTTTTAGCATAAGAGACAGTAGGGTTTTCAATTTTTCAAGGTCACACTTACAGATCTACTTTGGCCTCGTCGATATTCTACCCATGGTGGAAGTATAAGGGTGCGGTTAACTGAGGATGCAAATCTCAGGGCTCCCAAGAACTGGTCTGCTTGGTTTCCGAACCTCCCTGAAAAATATATGAAATAAAAAATCAGAATTCTTAAATCAACATGTAAGTCCACTCAGAACCAATTACCATGGAGGAACTCTCAACAGACACTGCTTATTTCTGGTTTCCAGAATGAAGGGAATTTAAATACACATAACTGCTACATGTGCAAAGCAATGACATTGATATTAATGATATCATATCAATGAATAATGATAAGGCCAGAACAATTTTATTTCTTGTTTTATGGATCCACTGGTCGTTATTTTTCAAGAACAATACAATTTTTTTATAATTTTTCCCTGCTCAAAAAATAAAATCCTAATGTTTTAATGGCCAAAAATGTAAACTTACAAGAAAATGTTATTGATATTTTATACTTATCCTGACTCATGCTCTTTTTGCTTGTCTTCTTCTTCTTTCGAACATAGTGGAACACTTGTATCTCCCTAATTGAAGCTCCCTTCAATTTAAAATCACTAATTAGTATTCACCACGAGTTACCTCCTTTCCACAAGCCGCTGAGCGAGGGAGCCACCTCTACCCATGTGCCTCACTCTCTCCTCATATACTGAGCCCAACATTTGAATTTACAGGGAAATCCAAAGTGTTATTTGGGGAGGATGGGAGGGCTGACCTCATGAGTCAGGATAAGTATAAAATATCAATTTTACTCCAAAAATTACATATTTTTCCTTATCCTGACTCATGCTCTTTTTGCTTGTAGCATCCTACGGAACGGAGGTGGGAATATCTAATACTTTGGATTTTTAATAATTAGTGATTTGAACTGTGATGATTGTAATAACCCTATGGGAACTTCATAAAGGCACTGAACTGATGAATTCCTGCTGCTAACTTATCAGCTGCCATATAAAGGTTATTACCATGTACTTATTATGATAAAGTATATATAACATTAATACAATGCTTAAGACTAATAGACTTAAGCTTGTTAATATGCTAGTATAAACTCCTTAGAGTTTGTTAGCTAAAATACTTTAAGATATAACATAGTACTAAGCTTAAGATATGATTAAACTTAAGCTAATTATATAATAGCAAACTCTTTAGAGTTTGTTAGTTAATATACTTATATGATATAGATATAATGCTGAGCTTAAGATATGAATAAGCTTTAGCTACATATATAATAGCAAAAACTCTGTAGAGTTTGTTAGCTAATATATTTTTATAATATGAGTATAGTACTGTGCTTAAGCTATAATTAACTTAAGCTACATATATAATAGCCAAACTCTGTAGAGTTTGTTAGCTATATATATTTTTATAATATGAGTATAGTACTGTGCTTAAGCTATAATTAACTTAAGCTACATATATAATAGCCAAACTCTGTAGAGTTTGTTAGCTAATATATATTTATAATATTAGTATAGTACTGAGCTTAAGATATAATTAACTTAAGCTACATATATATAGCAAAAACTCTGTAGGGTTTTGTTAGCTAATATATTTTTACAATATGAGTATAGTAGTGTGCTTAAGATATAATTAACTTAAGCTACATATATAATAGCAAAACTCCGTAGAGTTTGTTAGCTAATATATTTTACAATATGAGTATAGTAGTGTGCTTAAGATATAATGAACTTAAGCTACATATATAATAGCAAAACTCCGTAGAGTTTGTTAGCTAATATATTTTACAATATGAGTATAGTATTGTGCTTAAGATATTATTAACTTAAGCTACATATATAATAATAAAAAAACTCTGTAGAGTTTATTAGCTAATATGTTTATAGTGTAACCATAGTACTAAGCTTAAGATAAGATTAGACTTAAGCTAAAAGTATATAGCAAAATAAACTCCTTAGAGTTTATTAACTAATATACTTTTATGTTAAAAAACATAGTACTGAGCTTAAGTTATGATGAGAACTTAAGCTATATATATATATAATAACAAAACTCCGTCGAGGTTTTGTTAGCTAATACCTTTATAATGTAAACATACTGCTTAAGATATGATGAAACTTAAGCTAATTGTATAATAATGAAAACAACCCTTTAGAGTTTGTTAGCTATGATATAAACCTAGTATTGAGCTTATGAAGGAAAACTTAAGCTACATATATAATAGCAAAGAACTCCGTAGAGTTTGTTAGCTAATACATGTTATAATGTAACCATAAAGCTTAAAATATGATGAAACTTAAGCTTAAATATATAATAGCAAAACCCTCTTTTAGAGTTTTGATAGCTAATATACCTATATGATATAAACATAGTACTGCGCTTAAGATATGAATAAGCTTAAGTTACATATATAATAGCTAAAACTCTGTAGAGTTTGTTAGCTAATACATGTTATAATATAACCATATTGCTTAGAAATATGATGATACTTAAGCCAAATAGCAAAAAACTCTTTAGAGTTTGTTAGTTAGCAAGTTACCTATATAATAGTAAAACTCCGTAGAGTTTGTTAGCTTAATTAACTTAAGCTATGTATAAAATAGCCAAAAACTCTGTAGAGTTTGTTAGCTAATGCATTTATCATGTAACCATAGTATTACTCTTAAGATATGAATAACTTAAGGTAAATATATATAATAACAAACTCTGTAGAGTTGTTAACTTATATATTGTATGATGTAATAATCATAGTACTGTGATGATAAAAGGAACTTAAGTAAATTATACATAGCATGAAGCTATTTAGTATTGTTATAAGATAAGTAAAAATCTGTTAGATTGACTTATCTTCTCCGAGGAACTGTCAGCTGTTGTCGAGGACCATGGGATCGAATTGGTGTATACCTGAGACGTCCTCGGTGGTGATATCTCTCAGATAATGGTTTGCAACCACCATATCGGATTTCCAGAAATAAACCCTCCATTATTTCCAATCACATTTTGTGTAGAAACAATTGTAGAAGTTAGCTTATAATATCATGAGTATTAAGCTCATGGAGGGTCGGAATAGGTCCATCCGCATATGCACGTAGTATGACAGTTCTGATCCAAATGGAGATATAGTACATGAGACTTCACTCTGCGTAGAAGTTGATGATAGAGGAAATAATCTGTTGCATTTTTTCCTCCTGTTTGGTTTGGTGGAGATAAATTTACAGTGCTCTTGCTGGCCAACTTGATAGAATCATCGTTATCATGGGGTCCAAGTATGTCATCAAGTGTTCATAAACCTCACTTGTGAGGTGTTGGAGCACTATATTCATATCCCAGGTTGGGCGGAAATTTCCGTTTATTCTCCAAACAGAAGTTTAGTAGGTTTACTAACCATCTAGTTGTGTTAATTAAGCTTGATGAAATTCAGCTGTAGTCTCTGAAACGCTGTGGATTTAGATCCACTTGTATCTTCGTCTAGGTAATTCGGCTGCGAAGTCCTTGACGATGTAGGTGCACAACCAGGTGTGTCTGTCCCTCGCTGAACTTTATGTAAAATCGCCTGACTGCCGATCCCTCGTCTAAAACTTGACAGGGGGAGGTCTCTAACCTTGAAGAAAGGCAGTCTAATCATGAATGTTCAGGTTAACTGGACTGTAATGAGGCTTGCTCGCTCACTGATATATAGTTGTCACTTGTGACGTAAGTCTTGAACTGTGAATTGAGATCGACCTCTGTGTAGGTCGTTGTCCCTCATGGTCCAATCAGAACAAGGCATTTTGATTCTGTATAATACCCGCTGTGATGTCACAATGCGGTGTAGCGGGGAAAAACCCACCTTGAATAAATTCTTGTCGCCGCGTTGATATTAGCATAAGCGCCGGTCTTCACCGTAGCTTCCGAAGTTATCCGAGGTGACCCGCGTGTTTTGAGGGTTAATGGTAATCAGCCATGAAACCTCGGCCAAATATCTCAGCTCTGTAATTTTATGCTGGGTAGGTTATTTCCTGGTTGTCGGAAAGTAATTTCAGTTTTGAATATAATTCCGACTTCCTTATATATAAGGGTATAAACAACTTGCAAGTTGTGAGCTTGTAGACTGTATACATGAATGTATCGTCCATAATTGTAGAATTAACGTTGAACTTGTTGTACATATTTCTTCCTTGTGAAACTTTGACGATTAAGAGTTATACTGGCTGTAACAAGGCTGCTGTTCAATTTCGATATTGAATTGTCTGCAGATATGCGTAATGGTCACGCATGTGATAATCGTATCGTCGTCCGGGATTGTATATTAGCAATTTATAATGAATAGTTGATTTCTGTGAAGATCTATGAAATGTCGCTGACTAATAATACAGCGGCGCTCTGTGTTGTAAATAGCCTGAGCAATTATCTTCGCCAGAGGCTTATAGACGGCATCTGGCATACAGTTGATAATCAACTTATCGCGACGCCTTGAACGGACTGGACAGTAGCTATATATGGCGAAAGTGGCTGAAGTATATGGAAACCTTGGAGACTTCCCACCGGTGAACGCCGGAGACTTCGCGAAGTTCTCAGCATCCCTTCTAGATCTTCTGGGTGAAGTAGACTTGGAGCCACTTAGCCTTCAAGCGACCATCGGCAAGGTGTCGAATCAAAGCCCGATTAGTATATATATATATATATATAAATATATATATGAGCTTGCCTTCGTGAACAGCCTCTGTGTTTAACAGGATGTGGGATCGTGAGAAAAACACGCCTAAAGTAGGGCCGCATGGATCATCTTATCATATTCAGAAGTCGTGGTTACGAAGTCTGGTGATAAGTGTCTAATTGATCGTTCTAGATCTATTTAGGCCAGCTGAACATCGCCTCCGCCATGGATTCAACAGAACCAATATCGATTGTAGTTCTTATACTTGATATCGATGATCAACTTGTCTATGGGTTGATCTTCTCGGAGACTTGTGAGGGGAACGTTGATAGTTTCGCCTCAAGCTCTTGTATAGTCCCTCGATGTCCTTCTAGATGATGATGATCTGGATTCAGGTGTCTCCATCGCGATGCCTCAGCGAAGCTTCCTGGCGTCCCGTCCGGGGAACGACGATATGACCTTCGCGAAGGCTTCGTGATGTCTGATGGTCCGAGTCCACATCTAGGGATGAAACCGCATAAGGTGATGATCTATCCTGCCTTCGCGAAGTCCTTCGCGAAGGCTGTACATCTAGGGTTCTTTCCGCTTCGCTGAGGCTGTACATCTAGGTCCTTTCGCCTTCGCGAAGGCCTTCGCGGCGAGCTGTACATCTAGGTCCTTCGGGCCAAGGTGGTCCGTGGACTTCCTTTCGAAGGTGACATCGCCCCTGGCTGCTACACGCTGACGGGGGTGTGAGATTGTCTCACGTTGGAGCCTTCGCGGCGTTCGACCCTGCTACCGCAGAGATATAGTGGTCCTCCATGATGTTCATAATTTGTCGCATCATGTCTTCTGGGATGGTCTGCGGCGCCAGGTCATTGGTGCTTTATCTCTGCGGTGTTAATGGAGGGGTCCACCGAGGAAAATCGTCCGACATCAGTGTAGAGGCATCAGGCTGCATGGTGATCTCTGCTGATGTCGTTAGCTGTCACCGATGGTTTCTTGTGTATGCATCGCCGGGGATGATGATCAGCTGATCATCGTAGAGGTCCAGGTCATCGGCTGGAACAATCTTTCGGTTGAGAAAGTCCTAGTAGACTTCGTTGATTTTCCCTCAGAGGTCGGCGGCTGCCCTGGGTGCGCGGCTGCGCGTTGTGAGTGTTGGTAATGATGGGACCCTCAGGACCGATCATCGCATATCTGCGTTGGTACATCAGGCTGCATGCTGATCTGAGCCGACATCGGGTCAATCTTTGATGTACATCTGGTATGATGACCGGCTGATCATCAAACAGGCCCAAACTGCGATGGGGAGCGGTCTCGCTGTTGAGATGTGGTAGAAAAACCCTCTAGTCTTCTGCTGCGGCGATGGGATGTCTGGGGAAGCAGGATGCTTCTTGGAGATGGCGGACTACGCCCCACACCTCTCCACCACTCTAGCGGAACACCACACGGGAGGGGAGTCGGCCAACAGCAGTAGACTGGCGAGGGGTTCCGTGTATCAGTCATACTAGAGTCTGCATCACGACCTATCTGCTAAAGCGCGTACAAACGCGCAAAGTAAATATTAATAAAAAGGTAGAATTGGATAAATTAGTACCCTTAACTGCAATGTGAATATAATAAACATGGCCGTACATCATATTAAAGGCGGATCAGCAGCAGCATAAAAACGTAATCTGCAATAGTACAGAATTTTCATCAATGTAATCCATGAAGAAACAAACACGGCGTCCCGTGAATAAACTGTAAGAAAACGACTAAATATCAATATATAATCGTAAAATGTAAACTTACAAGAAACTGTTTTTTAAATTGTATTTTGCCCCATATACACATCATAAATTGCCAAAAGTAAAATGCTTCTAGTACAGTAGAATACTTTTATAACCAACACGGATATAACGAACTGACGGCTATAGCGAACTGTTTTAAAAGTCCCGAATAAACCTTATATTATCATATAAAAAGGTGAATAGCGAACTACGGACATAACGACCTAATTTCAGTGGTCCCTTGGAGTTCGTTATTAAGGTATTTTACTGTATTTACATGATTTAGAAGGAATATTACTTTGACTGGTGATTTTATCATCATTTTGTTTCCCTTCAGCCTTTAGATTTTCTGAGTAAAAAAATCCGTAAGAACAAGAAATAAATTTGGTCTGGCCTAATGAAATTCTTTTAAAAACATGAATTATAGGTTGAAATTGTAAGGATATTAATGATATCATATAAATGAATTATGATAATTAAATCTTGTTAAAACATGAATTACTGGTTGAAATTGAAAGGATATTAATGATATTGTATAAATGAATAATAATAATAAAATCTTGTTTAAACAGTAATTATTGATTGTAATTGTAAGGATATGAATAATGATGAAAAATATATAAATAAAATATCTGTCAAACAGAATTCCTACAAAAATGTCTTGAACAGTTGGTTTAGAAGAATTATTTATTTCTATCACAATCATATATATACATGTATATTATATTTATTTAGAGACTAAGAGTTTGTCTAAGAATCGCTGATGCTGCACATTTGTTACCAACTGGCTGTTCAAACGCAGGAAACAGTTGTATCAACCTTGAATGATGCACTAACGTGTCATTAAATGTCGATTAGACTAATTATCATTAGGGTTTATGTAGCCATTAGTTCATGAAGATGTGACACAACTGGGTCAAGGGTCCAAGAACCAACAATGGCAACCGCCACACGCCTCATTCGTACAGAGACTTACCCATACAAGGACAATAAGCAATGTAGCCATTGGTGTCCACTTCCGCAGAATTGAGCTGACCGATGAAGTTGAGGATGAGGATGACCATCACAGTGATCATCGCTTGAAGACAGCACATCTTGTTTGGAAACCTGGAAAACCAGACTAAGTAACCATAACAACACATACACAGAATATATCTGGGCGAGAGTGTGAGTGAGTATGGTCTTTATGCCACTTTAAGAAAAATTCCAGCAATATCATGTTGGGGGACACCAGAAATGTGCTCCCTATACTGTACCCACATAGGGATTTGAACCCAGGCTTTAGGCGTGACAAGTGAACACTCTATCCACTAATAATAAAGATTGATTGATTGATTAATACATCTCAACTAAACATAGCATTGATTAATTCTATGACAAGAGGGCAGTTTAAGCGCACAGTACACAGCTTCTGAATTACTAAAGCTGTGGTCGTGTATCTTCATCACAGAGACTTCAAGTTCATCACTTTCGACCAAAACAAGCCCGCCTACCCGTTGACAAGCGTCCTTACTGAGTCCCAACATAATAACCCTGGGTGGAGCGAACAGATTCTATACTATAGATATATTCACACTGAACACAACAAACATTCACAATGCAACGAAGTAATCCCACACCCCTGTCAAATGCACCAACGCCTGTCAACGATTCAGCACGGAGCCCAAGAATGCGGTCCGAGAACTAGAAGGATGTGATCAGAGACTGTCGATTTCAGTATCGCACTACCGGTATCTGAAGAAGGGCACCTGTTGTTCAGCGTACCTCAGAATAATATATCACGCTTCTCCGGGGTCCCTGGTCGATGTAACTCACGTGTGCATCCACCGTCGCATCACAACCCGAGCAACCAGCCCTGCAGAAGTAGTACACGTGTTAAACCTTTATTTGTTTTGTGTTCGAACCATGCGATTTCTAAGGGAGACTACTCTCTCGTGACGCTTTCAGTGTGGACCATGAAATATTTCGAGTGACGACGAGACGCGTGGGGCTGGTGCATAGCGTTTACATAATCGGTTTGCGATAGTGCTTCTCTACTACACACATGAAACTTAAATGGACCAGGTGATAAACCTTTAGATGTCAAGTTGAACTAAATATTCGAATAAGCTCCAAATATTGAAGGTTCCAGGCAGGGATACTCTACAACACCTTATAGTCTCCCTGCTCCAAGTAACTTACCGTACCTTGCAAATGTACTGCTAAGTATAAACGGATCTTGTGAAGATTAAATGTATCTTGTACAGTTAAAAGATATTTTGCAAAGTCAAATTATCTTGCGAGGTTTCAATTATTTTGTGAAGTTTTAATTTATCTGGCGAAGTAATGTGGCAAAGTGTACATGCTCTGTAAAGCATGAATGTATCTTCCAAACTCTATTTGTATTTTGTATCATTCAAAATGATCTTGCGTGGCTTGTGTATATACATTTTTTTGTTGGATGTAAAAAGGATTGTGATGGGTTTCATGTGCCATGGTTGATTTTTTAGCCATTTTTGACCTGATGGGTGTTACAAGGTTTCACGGTTTTACACACAGTTTAAGTAAGACTTCGCTGAGCCAGGCATCAGTGAGTTGGGTATTACGCCGCCTTTAGCAATATTCCAGCAATATCACGACGGGCTTCACACATTGTGCCCATGTGGGGAATCGAACCCGCGTCTTCGGCGTGACGAGCGAACGCTTTAACTACTAGGCTACCCCGCCGCCCCCAAAGAACCATGAAATATATACTGTTTGTCTACACTTAAACACCTTTTTATTGGACAATAGATACATAAGCCAGGACTTTTTGTAAAACTTCGAAGACTTTTAAGAGACGAGTTCAACACACGCAATTCTTTTCTGTGGCGAAGCCAACAAATTCTTTATATTTTCAGGACATCTAGCATGTTCATCAAATTACTGTTTTCGGTAAAACCTGACAAAACGTTTTGATTTTTTTATATAGCCGGTTCTTCAAACACTGGTTCAAAACACGCTATATTTTGTTCTTTGACGAGGCAAACAATTTCTCTATATTTTAGAAAACATTTATTTAGGACATCTAGCATGTCTATCAAATTACCGTTTTCGGCAAAACCTGGCAACACTTTTTGATTATCATATATGCTCGGTTCTTCAAATACAGCTTCGGGTCTCTCTTTAAATAATACACTACAGCTTCCAGGTAGCGTTGGTGTTGACTGGTCTTTGGCACAAGGTACTCGGAGAGATGGCTTGAATGGACCGCTTGAATACTCCCGAACTGGTTCAATACTGTCGACGGCAGAGAGCGGAAGGTCGCGGGTTCCATCCCCGACCGCGTCATACCAAAAGACGTTAAAATATGGTACTTGTTGGTCCCTGCCTGGCGCTCGGCATTAATGGGTACAACAAGGACTGGTCGGCTCAGAGTCAGAACAATGTGTCTGAGTGGGGTATTCATGCTTCACTGCAGCATGGTATCTCAGTGGGCTAGCACTATAAAACCAGCTTAAGTATGGGCTAGTACAAGCAGCCGCACATGCACACGCATGCACGGCGTCATATGAGCGAAATATTCTCAAGCACGACGTTAAACCCAATTTCACATCACCTCACCTGTCGACGGCAGCTGGTAAAGAAAATTCTCATTTTACATGCTGGATACAAAACCAGTCACCTTATAAACACGCACATCAAGCACAATTTAATAATAATTGTTATAGGATATTATCGATGTTCTCGCCTGTTTATTACTTTGCCAAGGTCTAGTGTGTTTGATCGACACATAACTCTGGTTCTGAATAAACAAACGTGTCAGTAGTATAATCATGCGATCAAACTGTTGCACAGAACAGTGGATGGGAAGAGACACCCATAAAGAGTGAGAGATTTAGTTTTACGTCGCTTTTAGCAATATTCCAGCAATAATATTGCTCTCACGAGTCCAAAATTTGGGACTCGAGTACTTGAGGGGTCAGACCCGACTCGGACCCGAGTACCCGACAATTTGGATGCTTATCTGAAACCAACATTCAAGCATACACGTAGTTGTTCCAACTTCCAATCTACGAATAATGCAACATGTATATGTGAATCCAAACGTTCTTGAATAAAGCAATTGATATTCAATGTCAATAAAAGTATCTATTACCTTTTTATTATTGCAAACAGCATGTGAAGGCGGTGTAAGTGTCACTGTGACCCAGTTCTACGCGATCAATAATGTGATTAATATTCACGAGCTGGGCCGGTGATACCTTATTACGCCTGTAAATGCTGTAATATGTCCGGGAAAAGAAACCAATCAATATACTTATCTTTTCATTTGGTTTTAAGTTTGACAGCGCTTTCAAGATTATCTAATATTAATATGTCGTTGCAGTTATGACATATTAGCAACTTTTAAACATTCACATATAAAAGTCACATAATCAATTAACCTTAATCACGGTTAAAATGCGGCAAAACACGTGCGCAAGCTGGAGATACATAGACATAGCATTCATTGATCGACTATGGAACTTAAAGAATATGTAAAACAGGATTGATGTTTATTTCAGACTTCTTATAGTGAAAACGTTTGGGTTTCAAACTAAAGACTAACCATTTATTGAGTAACACTACACTGTATTTCTTCTTCCGAAACTCTGCTGAACGGAGATCACGTCAATGGTATTCATTGTGATTAAAACTTTCACTATTTAGGATATAGGTCTCCAAGTGTGAATGTTATTTGAATACGTATGTATGTGTTGATTGTTGAATATGTAACACTGAAATACGCTGGATAAGAACGACTGTATATCTATGTATAAAACAAGTTGAACATAGGTAGTGGGCAGTGACAGTGATACAGCCGTGGGTGGCTACGCTTGTCCACGTGTCCGTAGTTAGGGCAACGGCAGGTACTGTTTTGAGTACTGATATTTTATTCTCCTTGTAAACTTCATACGACTTTATGAGGTAGTTGTGAATTGTCGCGGCACATGGGACCTGGTAATTTGGGTCCAGTGGTTCACAGAAAGCTCTGAACCACCCCCACCCCCACCCCTTAACAAGGCTAAATGGTCGTATATCCTTAACGCACATAAGCATTGCTTTTTGCGTAATCCCTTCATACCATTTCCTGTCAACAGGCTTCCGACTTTTGCTATAAAAATTACCAAACTGCCCAAGCGTTGCGTGCTGAGCTGGTTTTCTGTCTGCAGTGCTTATTTGCGGGTGCTTGCAGGACAAATGCTTGCGCATTGAACTTGTTGCACTACCTGCGTAACTAAGGGAAACACCACACAGACGGCATTCCGTATTTTGGCCACTAAATCAAGATCAAAATGCGACATTGGATCTTTTTCTCACGATCATCCATCTTGATTGCGTGAGACGTTTAGAGTTATCTCCCCTGCGAGTCCTCGAGTCCCTTCTCGAGTCCTGCTTTACCCGACTCGGACCCGAGTACTCGTGAGAGCCCTAAGCAATATTATGACGGGGGACACTAGAAATGGGCTTCACAAATTGTACCCAAGTGGGGAATCAAACCCGGGTCTTCGGCGTGACCAACAAACGCTTTAACCACAAGGCAACCCCACCGCCCCCACCAAGAACGTCAATGGTCGAGTTGTCTGTAACGTGTGTGGTGTATCTATTAGTCTATATTGTGTATTCTATGGCGGTGGTGAATATTACGCCATGCCTCATACATGTGTTATTTTACGCCGCACTCAGCAATATTCGAGCTATATGACGGCGGTCTGTAAATAATCGAGTTTGGACCAGACAATCCAGTCATCAACAGCATGAGCATGGTTCTACGCAATTGGGATACGATGACATGTGTGAACCACGTCAGCGAGCCTGACCACCAGATCCCGTTAGTCGCCCCAGGTCTCTCAGAAACTTTAATATGCCTTTTCATGCTGTTTCATGAGATAAACCTTGCAATGATTCTCATGAGATATATTCTGAGCTGTTGCGTTTGAGTTACGCATTTCTTCGTTGGTGTGTTGAGGTAATTCAAACGACATAAATTAGCATCAAATAACATGGAATCATTCTTTATTTATCGTTTATGTGCCAATTATATTGAAAACAGGTATACTGATATAACCAGAGCGTATTAGTCTTTAGTTTGTGTGATGTTTAACGCTGCACTCCAGCTATATAACTGCTGTCTGGACCAGATAATACAGTGATTGATATAATGAGCTCCGATCTGTTGGGATACTATTACATGAATCAACCAGGTCAACGGGCGCCTCTTATAAGCATGGATTGTTGAAACTCAATTGTAACCCACATCTTCGGGTGTTTTTAATCTTTCAGAGTGATTGGAATAGTTAACTGCAAACTTTGGAACCTATATTTTTTTCAGGTATTAAATTTGTTTACAATGTGCAAGTTGTCAGATGCCTGCAATAGATACAAATCATTGCAAAGTGAATTAGACTGAGATTTAGACTGAATTTAACTAAAGGAAATGAGAGCCTCAAATTTCACAATTGAAAGTTATTCCTGTTAGACAGTCCCCTCCTAAATGTCACAATGGTTGAGTGAGTGAGTTAGTTTACATTTACGCTGCTTAGCAATATTTCAGCAATATCATGGCAGGGGACACCAGAAACAAAAAATGGAGTTCACACATTGTACCCATTGTAAGTGAGTTGGGGCCAATGCAGCTTAACTTGGGAGGAAAGCCTTAGTTGATGCATGGAGGGGTTGATAACGTGTGTGTGTGTGTGTGTGTGTGTGTGTGTGTGTGGACAAACCTAGAATCATAACCCGACCAAACCAGGATTTCGACCTGATCATGGAATGAGTAAGTATGGTCGTTCTTCGCTTTTAGCAAGATTCCAGCAATATCATGGTGGGGACACCAGAAATGGGCTTTAAACATTGTACCCATGTGGGGAATCGAACTGTGTCTTTTTGCCTGACAACTCGATCCTGTTATTCGTCTCTTAAGACAAGCATGCGTTGCTGAAGATCAACTCTAACCAAGATCTTCACTATTTTTAGCTCAAGAATAAACCAATCTAGGGTACATACTCTTTCCCAAGCAGTAAAATTCATGAGAAACACCCCCAAAACAACAACAACATAATGCCCAGGCAAATTTTCTATGTACATTTATTCCTAGTTTGAACAGTGTTGTTTGAGAACAGCATAGATCTGTTTCAGGTTGGCATCTGTGCGTGTGGCAACTGCATCAAAGTGTGTCCTGCTGGCTCTGTAGCCCGAGGAACGGAGCAGTGTGACCATCCGATCGATTCTGAAAGCAAGAAATACGTGTACACATGAAAGGTAACTATCTTCAAGGGGAGGGGTGGTAGTCTATAGATTTGGTTGGTTGGTTTGCTTAAGGCCATACTGAGCAATATTCTAACTATATGGCGATGGTCTGTAAAAAATCGAGTGATCAACAGCATGAACAATCTAGGCAACAATCTAGGCATATGATGATACATGTCAACCAAGCCAGCGAGCCTGACCACCTGATCTTGTAAGTCGCCTCTTACGACAAGAATGTGTTACTGAAGATCAGTTCTTAACCGGATCTGGGTTAGAACTGATCCTAGTCTTCCATAACTGGACCCTAACTGTGATACTTGGATCCTTGCCCTCTATAACTGGATCCTAACTGTGATACTTGGACCCTTGCCTTCTATAACTAGATCCTAAGTGTGATACTTGGATCCTTGCCCTCTATAACTGGATCCTAACTGTGATACTTGGACCCTTGCCTTCTATAACTAGATCCTAACTGTGATACTTGGATCCTTGCCTTCTATAACTGGATCCTAACTGTGATACTTGGACCCTTGCCTTCTATAACTAGATCCTAAGTGTGATACTTGGATCCTTGCCCTCTATAACTGGATCCTAACTGTGATACTTGGACCCTAGCCTTCTATAACTAGATCCTAACTGTGAAACTTGGACCCTTGCCTTCTATAACTGGACCCTTGCCTTCTATAACTAGACACTAACTGTAAAACTTGGACACTTGCCTTCTATAACTAGATCCTAACTGTGATACTTGGACCCTTGCCTTCTATAACTAGACCCTAACTGTAATACTTGGATCCTTGCCTTCTATAACTAGACCCTAACTGTAATACTTGGACACTTGCCTTCTATAACTAGATCCTAACTGTGATACTTGGACCCTTGCCTTCTATAACTAGACCCTAACTGTAATACTTGGACACTTGCCTTCTATAACTAGATCCTAACTGTGATACTTGGATCCTTGCCTTCTATAACTAGATCCTAAGTGTGATACTTGGATCCTTGCCTTCTATAACTAGATCCTAACTGTGATACTTGGATCCTTGCCTTCTATAACTAGACCCTAACTGTAATACTTGGACCCTTGCCTTCTATAACTGGATCCTAACTGTGATTCTTGGACCCTTGCCTTCTATAACTGGACCCTTGCCTTCTATAACTAGATCCTAACTGTGATACTTGGATCCTTGCCTTCTATAACTAGATCCTAAGTGTGATACTTGGATCCTTGCCTTCTATAACTGGACCCTAACTGTGATTCTTGGACCCTTGCCTTCTATAACTGGACCCTAACTGTGATACTTGGACACTACACATCGAAAACTGGTTCTTGGCCATTTAGGATTCTTTGGTCAGTAATCTGATAGCAAAATAATGAGGATTTGGGAGGATAGCAGTTTTGCACTATCAATGCACAACAAGCATGTTAGGTGAAAATGGAATCACTTACAATTGCTAGTCATAATCTGACTAATGTTGGTTTGATAGAGCAGCCACGAAATACTTTATGTTTAGCACAGCCACTGACTCAGCTCCAACTAGTTTGATGCCTTTCTTGCTCAGCATCAGTCATAGTCACAACAAGTTTTGTTTGTATTCCAGCTATGTGGTGGCAGTCTGTAAATAATCGGGTCTGGACCAGACAATCCAGTGATTAAGAGCATGAGCATCGATCTACGCAACTGGGATATGTTGATATGTAATAACCAAGCCACCAAACCTGACCACCCGATCCCGTTACTCGCCTCTTCGACAAGCATGGGTTGCTGAAGGCGAAATCTAACCTGTTCATGGGTAGTTACTACAAGCACCATCATGATATGTCATTTGGCGTGAAACCGCCTCCGTGGGGTAGTGGTTACGCGTCATACCAAAAGACGTTAGAATATGGTACTTGTTGGTCCCTGCCTGGCGCTCGGCATTAATGGGTACAACAAGGACTGGTCGGCTCGGAGTCAGTATAATGTGTCTGAGTGGGGTATTCATGCTCCACTGCGGCATGGTATCTCAGTGGGCTAGCACTATAAAACCAGCTTAAGTCTGGGCTAGTACAAGCAGCCGCACATACACATACACACGCATGCACGTCGTCATATGAGCGAAATATTCTCAAGCACGACGTTAAACCCAATTTCACCTCACCTCACCTCATTTGGCTTGACATCAAAAGGGTGATTAATATTGCTAAATTATGATGTTGAATCCTTCTAGTACATACTTTGGCACTGTGATGTCTCTATATTTTTTCCTCTGCAGTGTTGAGCAGTAGAACGGTGGACAAATGTCAGGTTGTCTCCCCTTACTGGCAAAATTTGAGAGTGGTCCCCCTTTAGTAGTGTCTTTCTCTTCATCAACCTTTTCTGCTTTCATCTTTTTCGTTTTTGTGTCACATTCTGCAACACATTCACGTTTTCTGGACTGAGAATTGACTTTGGACTTATTCACCTCTTCGTCAATATTGTCATTCTCAGTACCGTTGTCCTGTTGTAACATTGAATCTTCAACAGCCATAACTGATGATGACATAACACACTGTTCTCCCTTCAGTCTGTAACAAAATGACTCTTCTATCAAAGCTGAGAGCAAAGATTTTGTTTTCACAGAGATTTTTAGGGAATCTGCCCGTGGAGCCATCCTTGTGAGAAAATCTGTGTTGAAGATGTCACCACACCTGAAAACAAGAAATGATTAAAGAGAGCTGTAGGCAGGTTGGTTTGTTGTTTAACGCCGCATTCAGCAATAGTCCAGCTATATGGCGGCAATCTGTAAATAATCGAGTCTGGACCAGACAATCCAGTGATCAACAGCATGAGCATCTATCTACCCAATTGGGATACGATGACAAGTGTCAACCAAGTCAGCAAGCCTGACCACGATCTCGTTAGTAGCCTCTTACGACAAGCATGGGTTAAGAAATACCAATTCTAACCAGGGCCTAGAGTTTTGAAGCTCTCTTAGTGCTAAGATAGTTGTAAGTGCCATGCATTAACATTAACTTACGACTATCTTAGCGCTAAGAGAGCTTCGAAAATCTAGGCCCAGGATCTTACAGGTCTAAAAGAAGGACCATGATGCGTTGCTTGTGCCTCATCATATTTGTGGACAACTGAAACTGAGAGACTGACTCTCAGTAAGTAGGGCAATCATAAACTGCCAGATGTACATTGTAAACTTTGACTTAGCGGACAAAGAAAGGATAACTCTGTCTCACTTTAATCATTGTGCATCATTGTAATCCACTTACACACATGCTGAAATTCCGGTTATTAACTCCAAATATGTAAATGCCTGTAGTCTGTAGTTATAAAACTACGGCCTGATCAAGACTGCCAACTGTCCCAAATTTCTGTCTCCCTTAATCACTGATATTTCTTAAAATTTTAAACAGTTTGCATGAAGAAATAGGTCAACTATTGCATATGTATAACCTTACCACATAGGGCCAAGGACAACGGCTGTTTTGCCTGGTGAGGTCACATGACAGTCACATGGCAGTAAGGAATATGGATCCTCTGCAATAAATAGTTGATAACACTTTGAAATAATTCATTTATATTTCAGTTCAAATTCTGTTCATATCATAGTTGCAATAAAAAGAGAGAGTGTTCATAAAGAGAGGGAATATGTCAGTAAGGGAATGCTCAATTATTATTAAATATGATCCACTGAAAATAACGACCCTCCCTACTTGTCATATCTTTGACTGACTTCGCCCTACCACACCTGTTTTGCACAAAACTCCTTGAAGAGACAAAATGAAAAAGCATTTCTATTATAATATATAATTTTGTTTCATGATCCACCCGAAATATGAGTATGATTTTTTTGTTTCATGATCCACCTGACTGAATATGAGTATGCAATATTTTTCAAACTGTCATTGTACCCATGTGGAGAGACTCATAACCAAATACCCCACTGCCCCAATTTCCTCTGAACCCCTGTTATAAGGAATGACTGGTCCCCAATATTACAACATATGAGCTGAAGTTGGGATGAAATATCAAAAATGAAGCAGTACATATCAGGGGTGGAAATAACTTTAAAATTGCTAGTGTACTCCGGAACAGTGGCACATGTAAAATCACTTGCCCTGATAATTTTTCCACTATACCGGCCGTTTTCTTGTTGATTTTTTAAAATAAACAAGATAATTAATGTGGAAAGTCAACTGGAAGTGTGAAATACAAATTTGCTTGCCCGACAGAAAAACACTGGAGACGCCGGGCAAGCCATATATATTTATTATTTACAAAAGTTACAATCATAAAAATAATACTGGCAGACCAAGGATCAATGTGTCTACAGGTGTTATCTGGTGGTGATACCTGTCAAGATCTGGGTTAGAATTGGTCTTCAGCAATCCATGCTTGAAAGAGGAGACGAACAGGACTGGGTGTCAGACTCGCTGACTTGGTTGGCACATGTCATCATATCCCAATTGCTAGATCAATGCTCATGTTGTTCATCACTGGATTTGATTATTTACCAACCACTGCCATACGGCTGGAATACTCGAGTCTGGACCAGACAATCCAGTGATGGGAACCGATGACATGTGTCAACCAAGTCAGTGAGCCTGACCACCAGATCCCGTTAGTAGCTTCTTACGACAAGCATTGGTTAAAGACCTTCGGGTACATCACAAATAGACCTAGTGGTTAAAGCATTCACACGTCACAAATAGACCTGGGTTTGATTCCCCACATGGATACAATGTGTGAAGCCCATTTCTGATGTCCACCGCCATGATATTGCTTGAATATTGCTAAAAGCGGCGTAAAACTGAACTCACTCACTCACCTTACCTACAGGAGCCTTCTGGTCTGGGTAGAACTGTCTCTCTTCACAGATCTGACAGTGGAGGAGATGACGGACTAGCCTCACAGACACATCAGCATGTCCTGGTCCTCTCAACACCCTCACTGTCACCAGGAGGAAGTCCTCGAGGCTGGCACAGAACAGCACCTCAATACCCTTGTTGCAGCTGGCAGCACTCCTAAAGACAATGTTAACACTCATCCATTAACTCTCAAGAATCTTTCTTGAGTATTATCTTAAGGCGTTACCAATTCTATTTTGTTTACGGATCCGCCTGTTGTATTTTTTCAAGAATTAAAAAAAAAAATTAATTAATTTTTCCCGCTCAAAAAATAAAATTTTAATATATCTATTGGCCAAAAATGTAAATGTGCAAGAAAATGCTTTTAGATTGTTTTTTTGCCCCATATACACCTCATAAATTGCCAAAAGGAATATTACTTTGACTGGTGATTTTTATTTTATTTTTTTCCCCTCCTGCATTTAGGGTTTCTGATGACAAAAATCCGTAAAACAAGAAATAAAATTGGTCTGGCCTAAAGGCACTATACAGTGTATGAAATAAGGCCTGTCCGACTGCCAGAGATGGGCTAGATTTCTGACGGACGGTCTAGATTTACAGCTAGACAGCCCTGATGGTCTGGTAAATTTTTTAGATGTTCCATACATCTGAGTAAATTCACCATATCTTGCTTGGTGTCAGGTCTGGTTAAACCCATTTTGGGCTGGAAACATTTTCAAGTTATTTCATACACTGCACTATATCACGCCACATTTCTCTAAAAATAAATAATACATTTCTCTCAATAATACTAACTAGCAGCTCTCAGGGAAGCTACCGTATAATTTATTCCAAACAAAATTACATATTTAGAATACAATATTAAATTTAAAAGTTTGAACGAATTAATGCAACATTGGATTAAATCGACTTTCATGCCCTCTACCTGCTGAACATTATTTAAAGCGAACCCCATAGAGTTATGTCCTTTGGGACTCTCTTTACGAATATCCTATGCACGACTTGTGATTGAACCCAGTTTGGTAAACACTGGCAACACCGCATGTGACAGTTTACGATGTCTTCAATATATGTACATATGTTATATTTGGGATTACACTTTCTCAGTAAAGTACAAATTCTAGTACTTTTTGGGTTGAGTCCCATCCGGGATTCGAACCCACACCCTCAGAGTCAGGCACCTAATCGCCAGCACACAAAGTCAGACGCCTAGACCGCTCAGCCACCGCGGCTTCTTTGATAGAGAAAGAAAGACGAGAGAGAAGAAAAAGAGAAGAGGAAGGAGGAGGAGAGGGGGGCAGAGAGTAAGGCATGTTCAACATGAGTGACCCCCAAAAAACTTTATGTACAGAGTAGGAGACCCCCCCTGCACATCATGTACAAAATCAATGACCCCCACCCCTTCCCATAATTTATAAGCATAATATTTTTCTTATTTTTGTGTACAAAATTGCTGACCCCCTACCTCTCCAGAACAAAAAATGGGTGCCCCCCCTTAAAATCATCATCATTGCTCACCCCCGCACCCCCACCATTATAAATTATGAACGGTAAATAGTCAAAATATCCTGAGTCTTCCGATGCTGCTCCCCAATATTCCTGCAGTGCTAACCTTGCCATACATGCTGTGACGATCCTGGCTGCCATTTCCTTTGTGTAGTCAGTTTTGATGACGTTAGCACTGTAGTTCCGCAACACAATGTGTGGAGTCCGTGCAAAACCAGAGACGTTTGGCACCACAAGAGAGACAACTCCATTGTTTTTTATGTTGGCAAAAACAGGCCCGAAGTAGCTGGTGGAATTCTTGTGTGGGTCCAAATAGCTATGTAAATAAACAGTTCATTTGATATACAGTCAAGTTTATCTGTAACGGTACAATAAATAGATAAAACAGGTCCCAACTTCACCCATAATCATTGTACTTAAAATATTAAATATTATAAAATATTAATAAATATTAAAAGAAGAAAATCATCAATCAATAAAAAATTGGGATAGGTTGACATGTGTCAACTAAGTGAGCAAGCCTGACCTCCCATCCTGTTAGTCATCTCATACGATAAGCATGGGTTGCGGAACATCAATTATTACCCTAATCTTCATTTGCAGAATTGAGATTTTGTTTTCTCTTAAATGCCTCTCTCAGGATTATTAGAGATATATGATCATGAACCACTGACTGACTGACTGACTGAGTTTTGGTTTTACGCCGCTTTTAGCAATATTCCAGCAATATCACATATTGCAAGAAGTAAATGGGGACACCAGAAATGAGCTTCACTCATTGTACCCATGTGGGGATTCGAACCCGGGTCTTCGGATAGCGAGCCAATGCTTTAACCACTAGACTACCCCACCGCCCCGATCATGAACCAGTGAGAGATGTTATGACACACAATCAACCACGCCTGACTATCTGATCCATTGATGCATGCTGCTGAGGCCTGTTCTAACCTGGGGGATGATGAGGTAGCCTAGTGGTTAAAGTGTTCGCTCATCACACCGAAGACCTGGGTTCGATTCCCACATGGGTACAATGTGAAGCCCATTTATTGTGTCCCCTGCCGTGATGTTCCTGGAATATCGCTAAAAGCAGCATAAAATCATACTCACTCACTCATACCTGGATAGTCCATCTCGGACAGAGAATGATGGGAAACTGAAGAAATGACTCACACAAAGTCAAAGGCCTCCATCTGCAGCACAACATGGGGAAGAGCCTGGCACACGTGTAGTGTATTGTCATCTTGACCTTCCAAGGGCAGTCCTGGAGGTCGGCAAAGGTCAGGGGTCAAGGTTGATACCTGAAGGTCATTCTTGCTGCAGTTGTGTTTGACACAGTTGTTAGGGCTGGAGTCTGTTATTGTGACATGACCTTGACCTTTTAGATGCTTTTTCCACTGCATGCCAGCTACACCTGCAGAACAAACATCAGACTGTTTAATAATGGAGTCCACTATGGTGAGTGAGTTGGTTTTAATGTCACTTCAGCACTTTGAAACTTTCTGACTCTATTCTGACCAGATTTATCGGTGGGGACCCATGAATGGGCTTTATCATTTTTATTGTCTGCTAGGCATTGTTTTATACAGAGATTAGGCATTGTTTTATAAAGAGATTAATGAGAGAGTGAGGTGGGGGACACATTTTTCCAAGTATCACAGTTAGGGTCCAGTTATTGAAGACTAGGATCAGTTCTAACCTGGAGCCGGGTAAGAACTGATCTTCAGTAGTTGAGTTGAGTTGGGCTTTAAAGTCACATCGGCATTATTCCAGCCATATAGTGTCGAGATCAAGTTTCCATTCATTACCATTTTAAGTCCAAGGTCCAAAAGGGTTACATTTTATTTTTAAAAACATATATATTCATTACATTTTTATTTAAAAACAGAAAATGTCATAGCACCAAATACAAAAGCAAGCAATTCGGACACACTTTAGCCTTGTGGAGGTCTTGAGTGAGAAGCAATGCTGTGAGCCCTAAGTTACTTACCCGTGTCAGGGGTTTACAAGACGCGAATTCCTGCGTCCTATACACATAAAAATGGACATTCGACGCAACAAAATTTATTAGTGCGTATAAAAGGGGTGCAGAAAAAGTCCAAATACTTTTTGTAAAAATTCCAATCAAGTGACAATAAGTTATCACTGAGTTTGCTACTAGCCGGGTTATGGTATCATTTGCAATTTAATTACTGTAACAATGTGATGATTATGATACACAATACAATAACAGTAGTAATAATAATATTTAAGTGTGTCTGGGACCCCCATTTTGTTGCCCAGGACCACTGATAATTAAGAGTATGTGTCCGAGAAGACCTTCAAATACAGGAGTCCATGTAAGTCCCTGCCGTGTATGTCTTGAAAGTATGCATATGTGACCCTGCTTGTTAAACAGTATGCAATATTTCAGCAATATGATCAGTATATAATCAGTATTGCTTAGTGCAGCAAATCATATAAATGACCGTTCATAACTTAAGGCTAGGAGATGTGATGATGATTTTTGTGGTGAGGCATGTACAATGTGACTGACCCCCCCCTAAAATATATGTACAAAGTAAGTGACCCCCCTGCATGTCATGTACCCCCTCCCCTTCCCATATTTTTTAAGCATAATTTTTTAATATTTGTTTGTACAAAATTGCTGACCACCCCTAGTACATGTGTACAAAACTGCTGCCCCGAACAAAATGGGTGAAACACCCCAAAAAAAAAAAATAAAAATAAAAATAAAAAAAAAATAAAATAAAACAAAAATAAAAATAAATAAATAGAAAATCAAAAAAATATCAATGCCCCAAAAAAAAAATAAAAAATAAAATAAATAAATAAATAAATAAATAAATAAATAAATAAATAAATAGATAAATAAATAAATAAATAAATAAATAAATAAATAAAAAATAATAATAAATAAATTAATTAAAAAAATCATCATCAACCCCCCTAGCCATAAATTATGAACGGTCCCTAAACTCACTCACTCACTCCAACCCAACTATTGATGTATCAGGGTATCAAGTCACATGGCCACTGAATGTAACAGATCAATATCTTAATGCTTAAACGTCGCTGAGTACAGGGTTAACAACAAACACACAACAAGAGATATCCTTCATTTAGTTCCTACATGAACTACATGTATAGTCTTATCAAATGTAGTATAGTACATGTGCCTGGCTTGTACCTGATCCACTGCTCGTGTCCACAGCATACAGGGGTGTCTCTTTTGTCCTACTCAGTTCTGACACTGTCGCTAGAATCAGCTCTCTGGAAAGACATTTACAAAATATAACTATAAATCTTTCTGGTTTCAAGGTCAAAGTGGCTATTTAACAAAATTGTTATGACTAAATTTGTTAATGGGTCATTTTATTCCAATAATGTGTTCCAGCTGATTAATATATTTTTTCCACTTGGATTTCCTTTGACAGAACTGTCTCAGGGAAGTCGCATACCGATCCGTCGAATTTCTGATTTTAAAGTAGTAAAATGCATTTGAGGGATGAGCACTGTGATCTAAGCTATTAATTAGTTATCAAAACATTGGATCATACCAAAAAAAGACGCAAGGGGTGTTGGATAGTTTGACTCTCTTTATTTTGGTACTTTTGTACCTATCTTTTCCTTGTATAACCAGGATATTTAGAATTGAAAACTTAAAATACATTTGGTAAATATTTAAGGAAAGATCTGAGGACCTTTGTGTGAGAATTCATTCCAAAATAAATGGACTTGAACAACATACCGGACTTATCTTTGACTATCCATCCTAGCTACATTATCCCTGGAACAAGAGTGGATAGACAGATTGCCTAGGGAGAAGGGTATAACACCCAGACACCCTCAGGTAACACCCAGACACCCCTCAGGTAACACCCAGACACCCCTCAGGTAACACTACTGATATGAGCAGACTTTGTATATTTTGTGTTTCTCATCGCCCGACTGACCCTAATTGTATTGCCAACCAAAAATAAAAAAAACTTTTTTTTTCATTTCAACACTGCCGACTCAAACCTAGAATGTACCGACTCATCATATAAAATATTACCACACAAAAAAAGGGTTATGACCTTGACAACAGACCGACCATGATGTCTGCTACTTGCATAGCAAACGAAAACGAAAAAAACCAAACATCTGGTCTATTTTGCAATTGAAGTATCACCTTCATATCCCTTTTAAAGTGGGAGTAGTGTCATCTTAATTTCATAACCTTTTAAAATTTATAAACTCTATAAACTCATTCAAGCACAATATATTTGTGTTAGATATAGAGATTACTAAAGGAGTGTCTGTCAGATACCATTTATCTTACAAGTTGTTTCAAAACGTATTTGGTAAAAAGACAGACACAAGTACAGTAATCTGTTTCTTACACACCATACAAGCCGACCCCTTAATTAATGAACTTAGACTCTCCCAGTGTGTTAACACGGTCTGAAATTCGACCGATTAGCACAGAACCACTCACACATGTTTCGACGGATCGGCACTGCTGACTGTTCAAAATACGACGGATTAGGCCATAATCATCAGGGATTACTTGTCATTAGAATAAATTTCTTAACATGATAGATTGGGGGACTGGCTGTTTGACTTGGCTGACTGTGTCATTATATCCTGATGGTGAATATCGTAGTTGTGGACGCTTTCAGTGAGTGAGTGAGGGAGTGTAGTTTTACACCGCACTCAGCAATATTCCAGCTATATGGCCGCGGTCTGTAAATAATCGAGTCTGGACCAGACAATCCAGTGATCAATAGCATGAGCATTGATCTGCACAATTGGGAACCGATGACTTGGTGTCAACCAAGTCAGCAAGCCTGACCACCCTTACGACAAGCAGAGTCACCTTTTGTGGCAAGCATGGGTTGCTGAAGACCTATTCTACCCCGGTGAATATCGTAGTTGTCGACACTTTCAGCAACTGGTTTATCAGATCCAGATTTGATATTTTACAGACCATAATGTTATAGCTGGAATATTGCGGACTGATGTTAAACTACATTTGTTTTATGAAAGGCCTATTTGTTACATTCACTGAGTGTCTTGGATCAGACAAAATTATGTGTCTCATTAAGCTAAATCAGGTAGAATAATCACAGTTGCAATAAACCAGTCATAAAAATCCTGCTTCTTATTGGTATTTATCATACTTACCAGGAATTCCCATGGGCCAAAATACGGGAATTCCCGGTATCATTCAAACACTTGAGTTTGTTGTACAATTAGGAGATTAACATCATGTGTTGGCCAATTTCCGGGTGTTATTGAGTATTTGAAGCACGGGAATTCATTTGGAACCGACGGCGTCACAGGAATTCATTTGGCACCGCCGGCGTCAGCCGGAGGTTTCAAATGAAATATTCCCGTGCTTCAAATACTCAATAACACCCGGAAATTGGCCAACACATGATGTTTATCGACATTGTAAACACAAAAGTAAACCAAAAGGTCCACACACGTTTTTGTGTCTGCACTCATTGACATCGTGTACGGGTACAGCAGTGATATGTCATCAGCCGGCCGTTTCGGCTGTCTCCCATGGTAGCATCTGGAACTGCTTATTTGTGACGTCATTTGGACTTTACGTCACAATATGATTTTAATGACATCATCACAGCTGAGGACGTAACAATACAATGGTGTGAGCGATGTTTGTATGTGTTAATACGCAGCGAATTTCCGGGAATCGAATACCATTTGATCACGTTTTTCAACCAATCAGATTAAAGAACACAGTGACTTTTGGTTTACAAGTTCTTTTCTTCTAAGATTGAGAAGATTAGGCAAGAATTTTCTCCTGAGTCAATTGTTGTAACTGGTGCACGCTTTCAAGGTGAGAGTTTTGATTCCTTCGACCCGCTCACAGAGGAACAGATTATCTGCATCATCAAACAATCAAAGGGCACAACGTGTACACTTGATCCAGCCCCTACTAAAATTGTCTTGGAATATTTTGACATTTTACTTCCTGTGTTCACTCAGATTATCAACTTAAGCTTGAAATGTGGCACTGTTCCAGGTTGCTTCAAGCAGGCAATTGTGAAACCTTTGCTGAAAAAAACTGGTTTAGACTCCACCTGTTTCAGCAACTATAGGCCGGTGTCTAATCTACCATTCCTCTCCAAGGTACTTGAAAGAGCTGTGAAGATGCAAGTTAGTCAGCACTTGAGTAAACATGACCTCTATCACAAATTCCAGTCCGCCTATAGGTCATTCCACAGCTTGCGGAAACAGCCCTGCTCTGTGTTGTTAATGATTTGCAGTGGAGGCGTTGACATGGGGAACTCAGCCGTTCTTGTTCTCTTGGATTTATCGGCCGCGTTTGATATGGTGGATCACCAGATACTTCTATCAAGACTTCAGTTCAAGTATGGATTAAATCATATGGCTCTTCTGTGGTTTAGGTCCTACTTATCAAACAGGACTCAATCTGTTGCTGTTAAGTAATGCTCAGTCGGGCGGAAGCTATTATTCTTTGTGGTGTACCACAGGGATCGAGTTCTCGGTCCTGTATTGTTCTCTATGTATACCAAAGAACTTGGTGATCTGCTTTGTAAGAAAGCTACTAATCATCATCTTTATGCTGACGATACTCAGTTGTTTGATGGTATTACCATGGGCTATGACAACAGTTCTGACTTGACCAGAATTGAAGATGCCATTGACCATATTGGTTCGTGGATGTTCAATAACAAACTAAAATTAAATGAACACAAGACAGAGGGTATGATTGTTGGCACAAGAAACATGTTAGTAAAATCACAACATGTTGAGTTGAAAGTTGGAAACATGGTCATTCAGCCTTCTCTACATGTCAGAAATCTTGGCATCCTACTCCAACCTGACCTCTCCATGAAGAAACAGATTCTGGATCTGTGCAGAAAATGTTACTTCCATCTCCGTAACATTGGACAGATCAGACATCTCCTGTCACAGGATGCTCGCGGCTGCCCTGGTGAGAACACTGATTCTCTCCGCGACTTGACTATTGCAACAGCTTGTTGGTTGCAGCTTCACAAGAGTCCATCCAAAAGCTCCAACGAATCCAGAACACAGCTGCCTGCATAGTTACTCTCCAACCAAAAGCGCTGCCACATCACTCCCATCCTGTTGTCTCTTCACTGGTTGCCTATTGAAGCTTCGCATTGACTATAAGATCTTTACACTTGCTTATCAGTCCATTCATGGTATTGCACCAGTGTATCTTCAAGAACTCCTCTCTCCTTACATGCCAACAAGAACACTGCGTTCATCCTCGGCTAATCTGCTCTATGTACCAAAGTGGAACCTAAAATCATTTTGCTGCAAGTCTTACCAGAACATGGCATCAGTCAAATGGAATTCCCTCCCTGATGAACTTAAGCTGTCTCCAACCCTTGAAAACTTTAAGTGCCATCTCAAAACCTTTCTTTACAAAAAGTTCTATGGACTTCAATAATGCCTTATTGATTGTTAGCGCTATGAGCATACCTGGTGTGGAGTTTGGCGCGCTATATAAATGGACACATTATTATTATTACAATGAGTAATCATCTAGGGGTGTTATTCCACAATCCTGAAAGTTAAGATTTGTGTGCCTGTAAACACTTGATCTTTTATGCGGTCTGATGGAGCATTTATGCAAATGATATCTCAAGTTATTTATCCAGGGAACATGTTAAATAAACTTGTAGTCATATATTTCACGAACATCTATCGGGAAAACACGATTCGAGTAAGATTCTTACTTTTAGTATAAACCATTTCCGTCACACTGCTCCAAAACCATTATTCGTGGATACGTAGATTTTGCGGATACAAATTAATGAAAGCAATCGTCGTCCCTATAGCAAGGTGTGGATATTATTCGAAATGCTACAACAGCTCCACAAGTGCGTCCTCGGGTTCCAATCTTCGATTGAGAAATTGTGTCTAAATTCTAGACTCAACTTGAGGCTCAAGTGCAAGTTATGACAGGAACTGCCATGTTTCATAGCTAAGCCTTTGAAAGAGTCAAGTGACAACTACCTGAAAATAAGCAGTTTTGGATTGTGGAGCTTAGATTTCTCGAGTGGAGTGTCCCCATAGTCATTTCGGAAAGAAACACCACGTTCCGTGATCCACTTCTCGCTTGCAACATGTTCCTGCATGGGCGCTGCCATTTTGAATTTTGTGGTGCACTCTGAAAGTAGAACTGAGAAACGAAACGTTCAATTTCAATGCCTACACAATGTAATAACTTAGCTTTATTCCAGTCATGAGAAAACATTATTTCTGTCCTTGCTTTTATTTTTTATCAACATCTTCAGTTGATCTAATAAACATAAATCTATATTTCCTCATTGATTTCTCACATTACAGTAAGTTTTCTTTCATACGACAATGGGCTCTAAATTAGTAAATATGTGTAACGTAAATCATATATTTTCCAAAACAATTGCTGTTTTGAGTGTATTATTGAATCATGTCAGTATGCTTCGCTTGTATTTTGTTATAAAAACACCAAATGACATTTTATGACAATTTAGAATTGAATGTCCTATATTTGTTCCATAAATGAATTTTATGATGCAAAAATATTTTACAAATACATTTTGTGGTGATACATGCAACAGCATCCTATTTTTTAGCCTCACCTCTTTTCAAGGCCAAACATGAAGACTTCTTATATGTTTGTTTGATTTTGAATATATCCTGACCAAATTTCTTTGTTTTTATTCAATGTGAGATGACTTTACTTGGCCTCAGGTGCAAGGTGATGTTGTATAAATGTGTGTAAAACAGTGCAAAGATGTGACCATTGTAAATCCTGTTCAACATACACTCCAATTTTCACTGTTATCATTTATGTGACCGCCTCCGTGGTGTAGTGGTTAGAGCGGAAGGTCGCGGGTTCGATCCCCGACCGCGTCATACCAAAAGACGTTAAAATATGGTACTTGTTGGTCCCTGCCTGGCGCTCGGCATTAATGGTTACAACAAGGACTGGTCGGCTCGGAGTCAGTATAATGTGTCTGAGTGGGGTATTCATGCTTCACTGCGGCATGGTATCTCAGTGGGCTAGCACTATAAAACCAGCTTCAGTCTGGGCTAGTACAAGCAGCTGCACATACACATACACACGCATGCACGTCGTCATATGAGCGAAATATTCTCAAGCACGACGTTAAACCCAATTTCACCTCACCTCATCATTTATGTGAATCTTACAAGGTTGGTTGGCTCGTTGTTTAATGCTCAGCACTATTCCAGTTATATGGCGGCGTCCTATAAATAATCGAGTCAGAACCAGACAATCCTGTAATCAACAGCATGAGCATTGATCTACGCAACTGAGATGCGAGCCTGACCACCCGGTCCCATTAGTCAACTCTTAGGACAAGCCTGGGTTACTGAACACGCGTCCATGGGTGAATCTTACAAGGAGATTTAGAGAGTTTTAACAAGAACTGGACATGTCAAGTACTGATCCATAACATAAGAAACAAAATATATGAAAACATGATTGGTTCTAAAACTCTTTTGAATGACCAAATATTCCTATGCAGTAAATACATAAAAATGATAGTAAATAAACAAATATTTCAAAATTGTGTCAAATTGTAATCCTTAAAGGATTGATCCACAAAATATACCGGTGATTCTTTTGATTCATAGATGTTATTACAATTTGAAATACTATTTCACCAGGCTTATTCTGACACAAATGTAAGAATGCGTGAGTAAAACAGATAGCATGTGAACATTAAGAGCTTTAACACTAAAATAACACACAGGTGAAGCTCTGCATGAAATGTAACACATTCTTATTTTCCACTGTATCAATATGATAAAGGAAAATTATATTAATGAGGGATGCCACTGGCCCGCTAGTCGGGCCAGTAAATCTCCACAGTTACAGGCCTGACTGGCTAGTGAATTTTCGTGGGGTCATTTTGTAAGTAAATCACTCTCTCCGACTTGTTAAGTTATAATACACTTTCAAATCATGCAAGATTATGGCCTGATAATAATGTTCATCATATTAGCAGCTTAATGATGAAACCCATGTCATGCCAAAATATCTTATTCTCGTCTATTATTGTAATCCTTTGCTTAGCTTCTACATTCAAATGTAGTGAATTATTTTGTTGGCTAGTAACTTTCAGGCATAGCTAACCCGACTGGCTAGCAAAATTTGGAAACTATTTAGAACTGGGCATGACCTGACCCTTTGGACATAACTGATTTGCCCGTTTCTTGTCTTGAATGTTGGATGCCATCTTTTGGTCTTTGGTAAGGGTGAATATGGTTTCATGCAACTTCAGCAATATTCTTGGAATACTATAGTGTGATACACCAGAAATGGGGCTTTTAACATTGTACCACTCGAGGAATCAAACCTGGGTCTTCAGTGAGACAAGCAAATGTTTCAACCAAGAGGCTACTAAATCTAGCTGCTACTGGAAAATGACATGATTTGACAGCTCTGGAAGTTGAAATAGGTATTTTTTAAATAGGGTCATTTAATAAAGACACCTGTTGGTAGTGTATAGAATTATTGCCGTCACTCTGCAGATCCCAATTTGGCATCACTCAGTTTGTGTGACCATGTGTGGTCAAAGGGAGGTAACTTTGCAGATACTAGCATTCAAGAGCGTCCATTTGTGGTCAAAGGGAGGTAACTTTGCAGATACTAGTATTCCGGAAAGGGATATCAGCCATGGCGTTGTTATTTTTTATTAACATACGGTGAAACCTTTCGGGACTAAAACTGGTTAGATAGAAATACACGTGAGGTTCTAGTATTTCATTTTTGAGAAAGAAATACGTCAAATATAGGACATTGTGTTCATCAATTAAAATCATCCGAGTGTGCACCTTCATGTATATCAAGATGTTTTCACGGCGGGGGACAAAGAAACTCCCATTTGTACCCCAACCACCTTCCTAAAAACAACTAAAACAATCCCAAAACAAAACAACAACCAAAACAACAACCAAAACAAATAACAACAACAGCCAAAGAATACCCCCCTCAACCCCCAAAACCCCATCAACAACAAAACCAAAACCAAACACACCAAAAAACCCCAAACTAACAAAAACAAAAAAAAAAACAAAAACAAACAAAACCCCCCAAAACAAAAACAACACGAAAAACAAAACCAAAACCAAAATAAAAGAAAAGAAAACATAACCCATAACAAATAAAAATATTACTCTGCAAAAAAAGAAACGCACAGATGAAAACTCAGGAATGTAAACACTTTATTTTGTTTCCAAATAAAACTTTAACTAATGATCGCACGAACGTAAAATTTCACATGGATGTTGTCAAGAGTCAGCTTTACAACATGCAGCTATCATTTGTCTCTGAAACCATTGCACCGGGCGTACAGATGGCGTGGAGGTCAGGTACCTGTTGTGACCACCTCGAGCTTGCAACACAGCTTGGCACCTCCTGTCCATGGACATGATCAGTCTTTGAATCCGTGCTTGGGGGATCCTCCTCCATTCCTCCTGCAAGGCTTGAGACAGTTGTTGCAACGTTTGGGGTTGAGGCTGACGACGTCGAACGCGTTTCCCAAGCTGGTCCCACAAATGCTCTATTGGGTTCAAATCGGGGATTTTGAAGGCCAGGGAAGAACTGTGATGTTCTGATTCGTCAGGTAGTCCATCGTGATGCGAGCCACGTGCGGTCTGGCGTTGTCCTGTTGGAAAACGTGACGTTGAGGGTTGATGACAGGTAAAAGATGACGTTGCAGAATTTCATCCCTGTAACGAATTGCAGTCAGGTTACCACGGACGTGCACCAAGTCACTTCTCCCGTTGTAAGAAATGGCCCCATACCATCACACTTCCCCTCCAAATCTGTCCGCTTCAACTACACAATTACGGGCGTAACGTTCGTTTCTCCGTCTATAGACCCTCGTCCTACCATCATTGTCTTTGAAGTTGGAAACGAGATTCGTCGCTGAACCAAATTCGCTGCCAATGTCTCCAATTCCGTCTCTGGACGTTCCTGCACCATCGAACACGTGCCAGGCGATGATGAGGTCGTAGTGTGCATCCTACGTGAGGTCGTCGAGGGCGTATCCCGTGCTGTCTGAGGCGATTTCTGATGGTCTGGGCGGAGACGCGGCGAAGACCTGGGACGTTCTCTGCTGTTTGTGTTGCTGGGACGGCCCGGTTACGTAAATGGAACACCCGGATGTAGCGGTCCTGTGCAGCATTGGTTACCCGTGGTCTACCACTCCGAGGTCGGTCGCGGGTCGAGCCCAGTTGATTGTAGCGCCTCCATAAACGGGAAATTGTTGTGTGATGCACGTTGAAGTGTCTTGCAACTGATGACTGAGATTCGCCAGCCTCAAGACGTTCGATGGCGATGTTCCGGTCAGCTTCGCTAAGTCGTGGCATGCTGAATTCGTCAGTAAACTGGCGTTGAAAGTGAATTGAACACGTTAAACTGCCTTCCTCATATACCCTACACACTGGTGCATAGGTGAAGCAACTTTCACGTGCATATCGTTCGAAGTGTCAACAATATTTCATGAAATGGTGTGCTTTTGAGCGATACTTAATGGATATGAACAAGTATACATTATGTTTGGTTAAAGTAACCGGGTTTTGTTTGCATAGAAATAAAATAAAATTAATTTTAAATTTCATTATCACCTGTGCGTTTCTTTTTTTGCAGAGTATATAATGAAAAAGAGGCCAAGAGGCTAACAGCGATCTTTTAGTTACAAAAGTATCCGGTATATACAGGTCAAGGTTGTTTACATAATATAAACCTTGAACATTACGATGACGACTGTACACAACACCTAACACAGATATCAGGCGTTTGTTTTGTTTTGTTTTCACAGATTCAGTCTAGTAGGTCACAGCAACCGGCCGAGACTTGTGAGGACACGTCGTATATCTCCGCCTCAGCCCCATAGGTCACAGAAGCGGCAGGCGCGTCACATCGCCCGGGCTTGCCAGTCAACACCGGTACATACTGGAACGTAGGCAACCAGATGGTGAAACGGTACAAGGTACACACATGCTTTTGACTCTAACATACTTTAGCTTACACTTGCGTTGGTTAAATGTTTACATCGACGGGAACATTGCTGGTGAACGGCAGCTGCTCCTGGAGATAGTTTCAAGTGAGTACTTCTGTTGGGTTGGGAACGGATTAACGGATCGATCCGGACTAGTTCGGGTAAAAGAATTATCATGCATCGATATACAGTTAAACTGATCTATTTTCCGTGACTTTTAAACGCTTGAAAATGTAATTTATTCCCCCGTGAGGTCACCACTGTTTATTCAGTAGTGTTAATCTTTGTCGTGCAAATTTGCGTTCCTGAATCGTCCTAGGATCCGCTGATCTCTGGTTCGAATCCCAGATGGTGCTTGATATGTCAGGCACCATACAGCGTGTGTCTACATCGTTTTGTCTATAACCTGTCTAGAACCTGTATGTTTGAACCTTAGAGACATGGCTAAGTGAACCAAAAGCACTGCCTTCCACTGACTGACTGAGTTTGGTTTTACGCCGCTTTTAGCAATATTCCAGCAACATCACGGCGGGGGACACCAGAAATGGGCTTCACACATTGTACCCATGTGGGGATTCGAACCCGGGTCTTCGGCGTGACGAGCCAACACTTTAACCACTAGGCTACCCCACCGCCCGCACTGCCGTCCAGATAGATATGATCATAATAAACCAACCCGTGAAGATCCGGGTTAGAATTGATCTTCAGTAACCCATGCTTGTCGTAAGAGGCGACTAACGGGATCGGGTGGTCAGGCTCGCTGACTTGGTTGACACATGCCATCGGTTCCCAAATCCGTACATCGATGCTCTTGCTATTGATCACTAGACTGTCTGCTCCAGACTCGATTATTGATAGATCGCCGCCTTATAGCTGGATTATTGCTCAGTGCGGCTTTAAACTAAACTCACTCACTCATTATAAACCCTTCCCCTACGTATCATACATCACTGATTGCAGATGTCGTTCCCGTTAACGTTCCGGGAGGTCGGTGACGCTGACTATGACGCCGTGATGAGCGTGCTGCCTGACGCATGGGAGGGCAGGGATTTTTTACCTCACAAATATCCCGAGTATGTTGCCGACCCAGACTGCACCTGCTATGCCTGCTACGTGGAGGGAGACATGGTAGGCTTTAGTGAAGAAAAGAAGCTGTCAAAGAGAGGCTCTAAATGTCTCTGGGAAGAGCTCATTAACTCAATACTTACTCATCCATCCGTTCAAACACTCACTCATTCACTCATCAAACAAGGTACTCAGCAACCTCCTCACTGACTGACTGACTGACTGACTGACTGGTTCACTGACTTCCTGACTGACTCATTCACTGACTCACTCACTGACTGACTGACTCCCTGACCGACTCATTCACTGACTCCCTGAGTGGCTTACTGACTGATTCACTGACTGACTCACTGACTGACTCACTGACTGACTTACTGACTGACGGGCTCACTCACTCACTCACGCACACTCTCAATCAGGCACGCACTCACTCAGTCACTGACTCCCTGACTGACTGACTGACTGACGGATTCCCTGACTCCCTGACTGACTGATTCACTGATTTACTCACTGACTGACTGACTGACTGACTCACTTACTCACCCGTTCACTCACTCACCCACTCACTCACACACTGATTCTCTGACTGAATGACTTACTGACTGACTGACTCACTCACTCACTTACTGACTCACTCACTGACGCACGCACGCACGCACGCACTCACTCACTCACTCACTCTCTCACTCCTCAGTATTTCCATCTGTTCCTAGGTCGGCTTTCATGCCGCCCTTATTGTTGACAACGGAGAGACTATAGTGAGGATCGGAGGTCGGGTCAAGGTTACTCACCAAGGTCAGGGCATTTTTCAAGCCCTCCTCAGGCATATGTATAAAGCACATGGAAACAACAAACAACTGAAATATGAAAATATCGTCGTCCCCGACACTCACGCGGAGCGGCTGAAGCGGCAGTATGTGGAGCAGCATGGGTACTACCACGTCCTGCGGAAGGTATCCATATAATCTCAACCTGGGGATTCGTAATATGATCTCATCGGATCATACCTATGATCTCCACCTGGGGATTCGTAATATGATCTCACCGGATCATACATATAATCTCCACCTGGGGATTCGTAATATGATCTCATCGGATCATACATATGATTTCCACCTGGGGATTCATACATATGACCTAGCCCCATCCCCACCGAATAGGGATTCATATATATGATCTCCCCGGGGATTCAAACCAATGATCTCCCTCCCTGGGAATTCAAACCAATGATCTCCATCCCTGGGGATTCAAACCAATGATCTCCCTCCAATTATCTCACCTTGGGGATTCATATATATGATATCCCTGGGGATTTATACAAAAGATCTCCCCCTGGTGTTTCATATGATTTATACATATGAAACCCAATCAGACCATGGTACAGTTAAGAAATGCAGCTCTTACATATATCTCCCGAACATATCAATGATAGTAAGCAACTCTTTTCATTTACAGAAAAGGTACTTATACAAGTTAGAGTTAGCAGGTATCCAGATGGTCAATCCTTGGCCGAAATCGAAAGTGCCTTATCGAGTGACCGCTAGCGACATGGAGGCCATCGTCTCGTCCGAAGGCATCCGCAGGAGCCTCTTCCCAGACGGGCGAATATTCCTCCACTGTAAACCGTACAAGTTGGAAGCGTCAAACATCAGACATTTCATGCATGAAACTTTAGTTTTAGCTACTGTTAATGGGAGTGATCTCCCTTGTGGTAACAACGCATGCGCAGATGATGCTGAAAGTACCCAAAATGGCGGCCATTCTAATCGGTTTCTTGAAAGAATAGTGCTTTTCTCCATTGGGAACTTCTATTACCAGAAAACAGGCCTACATTACAACATCGAGCTGTATGGGGACGATATGGAATCATTTCCAGAGCACCTGAGTCGTCACATGTCCCGCATCAAGTCACTAGCAACACCATCTGTTGACCTTGTGGTTTATACTCATGAGCGGGCGGATGTCAGGTGCTTTGATGACGCCATGAACAAATATGGCGTAACGCGTGACGACGCATACGTTGAATCCATTCACTTGTTTGAGAGGCCATTTTCCATAGCCTTGAAAGAGGCTGCATCAGAGACAGCCTAAGATTCTGTATTGAGGCTCATTTAGAGCTATACTGATGAACAAAAGAAAGGTATCATATGGCACTGCTGAAGTGTTTACGTTTAGATGTACCAGATATGCAATTACAATGTACCATTGTATCGCGAATGTTTAAAGTACGCGGTTAGAGGTAACACTCTCAACAACCGCTGATTGGAACAGCTGATTTCAAACAGAACATAAATAGTTTATAGAATCCCAAATGTTCACTTGGCAGTGAATATCAGGGCCCCGTTTCACAAAGCTCTCGTAAGCCTACGATCTCGTAACTTTTCACGTAGCATTCGTACCTCCTATACTGTAACAAGGAGGTACGAATGCTACGAGAAAAGTTTCGAGATCTTAGGCTTACGAGAGCTTAGTGAAACGGGGCCCTGGATGTTAATTAACAAGTCTATCCAAATTGATGTTTAACATTGAATATCAGGACTGTATTTTGTTAAACCTTCTCGATTGTTTAAACATTATTCATTTGTTTATACATCATGTATTCTTGAAATATACATGTACTCATATCTTACGTCATTGTCCTGATATTGCTGCTATAATGTTTGTGTTTGTATCTTAATTCAACACTCATTGTTGTGACATGGACACATCAGGAAGCAACCTTTTCCCGATCTTTTTGTACACGTGAGACAAAACCAAAATCTGTGTATGCCAAGGACAGTACTGCTGCACTGAGGCGTTTACCCACATGACGTAAACATCATAGAAATTAATCCAATCATTATTTACATTAGAGGTTCGTATTTCAAGAACAACTTCCAACTGAGACAGTTGATTTGAGGGCCGCTTCATCGGGGACGTTAACATGTATAATCTGTTTGCAGTGAAAACGTACCGATGAATGTCACTTTAAACCCAAAAGTAAAACAAATAAAGTGAAATTAAGACTGCAAATCCTCATGGTTTTACCTTTCCAATTGAACATTTAAATCGCAGAATTTTATTCGACTTAGCATAAAAGTTGTTTAACAAACGATCATAGTTTCACATGGCTATTATTGGTTTGTATTACAAGGGGGTATGCACATCAAATGAAACACCGAAGACGACAAGGGTTGTTATAAGTTAACGCTCTCCACGTACCGCACCATTCGTCACCACTCGCCCCTTTCCGTAACCTCCAAGAAGACTCGTCCCCCACTCGATACTTTTTATGTGCGAATATATGACAAACCAATCAGAACGCGCGTAAATGAGCGCGGTGCTTTGATAAAAATAATCCCGAGTACTTAAATCGTTTATGGCATTATGTCATTGTTTAAAAAATCATGAAAAAAATATATATCGTCATATTGAAAGTACAAAGAACATAGCTAAAAGGATTTTGCTGCCTATTATGAAGTTTTAATAAGAATCATGCGATTGACAGTGAGAGATTCAAATACACACACGTGCGTTTGTTGACATCACTGCTCTCATGGGTCCAACTGAGTGTATTTCTGACGGGCTTGTTATGGAGATTGTACGTGCGCTTCGACCAATTTTAGGAAATGTAATTATAATCGCTATGAGTTTCAAAACAATAATATCGTATTTGTATGTAACTAATCAACCTTAATCTCTAACATTGGGCTTATATTTCATAGCTCTGGGGATATTTTAGTCTGAGTGTTTTTTGGTCATTCATATTTTTATTAGCGAATTCATTTGAAATTCCACCAGGGGTGTGACAGCAAGGTTACACGAATATTCAGTTTGAGAAACATTTTAAAGTCATTTTTTTGAGTATCTGCTTTGGGATTTAATGTAGCTTATTTTTTGTTTGTTTGCATATTCAATAAAACAATTCCCATTTGTGATAATTTAACCCTGTTAAGAAAATTAATATACATGTAATTGAAAATATAAGGTGAACAGCTGGTAATAATTACATCAGAATATGTCTAACAAATATGTTTTTCTCCTTTTAGTTGTATCAAAGAGGTTTAGTTATTTAAAATAAATAAGTAAAAAAAACCCACCAAAACAACAACCTAGCAATACAATGTACATGTGCTTCGGTGATATTAAGAAACTTTGGAATCAAACAGGGAAAGAGTTATCATTCTTTTAAAAAGTAGTTCTGATGTTCATGCCCCAATATGAAATCCTTCCAGAGGGGCACGAGTCACTATTCGGCTTGTCCCGGAATAATACGAGTTGGTCACGAATGGTACCGCACGTTTCATTTCTTTCACTGTTCCAACGACTGCGCTTACCCCCTTGTAATACAAAACCAGTAATAGCGATTTGAATCTATGATCGTTTGTTAAACAACTTTTATCCCAATTTGAATAAAATTTTGAGATTTAAATGTTCAACTGGCAAGGTAAAATCATGAGTATTCGCAATCTTAATTTCACTTTATTTGATTTACTTTTTTGTTTAAAGTGAAATTCATCGGTACGTTTTCACTGCAAACACCTCGTTAGGATGAGAACGCCACAATAACTCGGTGCGCCTAGTGGCAGCAAGAGTTGTATACTCCCCAGGGAGTTGAGATTGCTAATACGATGTGCAGTTGAGATTGACATCCAATGATCTTGGGGAAAAATACCAGCGCCTTGAGCATGCACTAGTTGCCTGGATATGTGCGCTATATAAATATCCTTTAATAAATAATAATAAACAGACTATAGGTATGACCAGAGAGACTCGACTAAGACTGACTATTCAGTTAGTTTCCTAAAATGATGTCACTTTGTTAATCCTTCAAATGGACAAACTATGGCACACGCGTTCACCGTTTTACTGTGTTGGGGGGTTCATTTGTCTAAGAGTGAGTGAGTGAGTCTAGTTTTGCACCGCGCTCCGCAATACCCCAGCTATATGGCGACGGTCTGTAAATAATCGAGTCTGGACCAGACAGTGGTCAACAACATGAGCATCGGTCTACGCAATTTGGATACGATTACATGTGTCAGCCAAGTCAGCGAGCCTGAGTACCCGATCCCGTCAGTCGCTTCTGACGACAAGCATGGGTTACTGAAGATCAATTCTAACCCGGATCTTCATGGGTTTGTCTAAGACGCTGCACTACCCAGGATTTGGTACCTGAGAGCTGGAAAATCGGCGGTTCGATCCCAGACCACGCTATATTCATAGACGTTAAATTATGGGACTTGTTGTTACCCTGGCTGCTGCTGGTTTTTGAGGGGATGCAACACGTACGAGTTGACTCCGTGTCATTGTATCCGTGTCAGGTAGCCATGGTATCTCCGAGGGCTAGTGTGTCTCGATCAGTACTGCTAGCACACAGGACTTGTTCTTTTTTAGTAACTACATCCACCCACTCTCTCATGCATGCCCCTACATCCACCCACTCTCTCATTCATGCCCCTACATCCACCCACTCTCTCATGCATGCCCCTACATCCACCCACTCTCTCATGCATGCCCCTACATCCACCCACTCTCTCATGCATGCCCCTACATCCACCCACTCTCTCATGCATGCCCCCTACATCCACCCACTCTCATGCTGCCCCCATGCATGCCCCTACATCCACATCCACCCACTCTCTCATGCATGCCCCTACATCCACCCACTCCACTCTCTCCTGCATCCCCCACTCTCATCCACCTACATCCACCCACTCTCTCATGCATGCCCCTACATCCACCCACTCTCTCATGCATGCCCCTACATCCACCCACTCTCTCATGCATGCCCCTACATCCACCCACTCTCTCATGCATGCCCCTACATCCACCCACTCTCTCATGCATGCCTCCCCTACATCCACTCCACTCCTCTCATGCATCCACCCCTACATCCACCCACTCTCCATGCCCCTACATCCACTACATCCACCCACTCTCTCATGCATGCCCCTACATCCACCCACTCTCCACCCACCTCCTCATGCATGCCCCTACATCCACTCCACTCTCCTCCACCCACTCTCATGCATGCCCCATCCACCCACTCTTCTCATGCATGCCCTACATCCACCCACTCTCATACATGCATGCCCCTACATCCATGCCCCTACTCCACCCACTCTCATGCATGCCCCTACATCCACCCACTCTCTCATGCATGCCCCTACATCCACCCACTACTCATGCATGCCCCTACATCCATCTCCCCTCTCCACTCCACTGCATGCATGCCCCTACATCCACCCACTCTCTCACCTTTACATCCACCCACTCCCCTACATCCACCCACTCCTCTCATGCATGCCCCTACATCCACCCACCCACTCTCTCATGCATGCCCCCACATCCACCTACTTCATGCATGCCCCACATCCATTCCCACCCTCATGCATGCCCCTAAGATACATCATGCATGCCCCCCACTCTCTCTCATGCATGCCCCTACATCCCATTCCACTCTCATGCATGCCCTCTCTCATGCATGCCCCTACATCCACCCACTCTCCCTCATGCATGCTCCCTACATCCACCCACTCCTTCCTCCACCCACTCTCTCCACTCCACTCTCATGCATGCCCTCCCTACATCCACCACTCTCTCATGCATGCTCCCTCATGCATCCACCCACTCTCTCATGCATGCCCTACCTCCTACATCCACATCCACTCTCTCATGCATGCCATCCACTCATTCTCTCATGTGCATCCACCCACTCTCTCATGCATGCCCCTACATCCACTCTCTCATGCATGCCCTCTACATCCACATCCACTCTCATGCATCCACCCTCTCTCATGCATGCCCCCACTCACATGCCTCCCCTACATCCACCCACTCCTCTCTCATGCCCCTCATCATCCACCCTCCACCTACCTCTCATGCATGCCCCTACATCCACTCCACTCTCTCATGCATGCCCCTACATCCTACCCACTCATGCCCCATCCACCCCACCCCTCTCTCATGCCCCACATCCACCCACTCCCTCCTCCATGCTCTCCTGCATCCACCCACTCTCTCATGCATGCATCCCTACATGCCTCATGCCCCCACATCCACTCTCTCATGCATGCCTCCTACATCCACCCACTCTCTCGTGCATGCCCCTACATGCATGTCCACTTCAAGATCCACCCACTCTCTCATGCATGCCCCTACATCCACCCATGCCCCCCACATCCACCCACTCTCCATGCATGCTCTCCACATGCATGCCCCCACTCTCCTCATGCATGCATGCACTCTCCTGCCCCACATCCACTCTCTCGCCCATGCCCCTTCATGCCCCACATCCACCCACCCACTCTCTCTGCGTGCCTCTACTCTTCATGCATGCCCCTACATCCACCCACTCTCACATGCATGTGCCCCTTCATCCACCCACTCTCTCATGCATGCTCTTGAACGCTGGTTAACGTGACACCATTTGCATGTCATCTTTAAAACTACACACCGCATTAAATGCTTGTTTACAGGAGTTTAAAAAAAATAACCTGTGTAAAAATATTTTAAAAGCGTTTGTGGATATCATCCACGTTCAATTTAACAAGACCGCCTCCGTGATGTAGTGGTTAGAGCGTCCGCCCGCAGTGAAGCAGAAATACCCAACTCAGATAACATTATACTGACTCCGAGCCGACCAGTCCTTGTTGTACCCATTAATGCCGAGCGCCAGGCAGGGACCAACAAGTACCATATTTTAACGTCTTTTGGTATGACGCGGTCGAGGATCGAACCCGCGACCTTCCGCTCTCCGGGCGGACGCTCTAACCACTACACCACGGAGGCGGTCCCATGCCGCACTGAAGCAGAAATACCCCACTCAGACACATTATACTGACTCCGAGCCGACCAGTCCTTGTTGTACCCAATAATGCCGAGCGCCAGACAGGGACCAACAAGTACCATATTTTAACGTCTTTTGGTATGACGCAGTCGGGGATCGAACCCGCGACCTTCCGCTCTCCGGGCGGACGCTCTAACCACTACACCACGGAGGCGGTCGGATTGTATGGTTCAGACTCGATTATTTACAGACCGCCGCCATATAGCTGGAATATTGCTGAGTGCGGCGTAAAACTAAACTCACTCACTCACTCACTCACTGATATACAGAGAGTCATTAACGAAACGACTAGTCAGCCCTGTATATTAGATAAGCAAAATACTAGTTTGTATCGAAAGGCTTTGCGACGGTGCGGTAGCTTAGTGGGTAAGACCCGTGCGTCCATGGGTAAAAAGCAATTAAGTACATATTCCGTGTTCATCTCATGTTAAGAGAGGCGTTAAAGTACACTCACTCGCAGTTAATACCAAATAACAACAAATAAAGTAAGGCAATATTGGATTGAGTGAGTGAGTGAGTTTGCTTTTAGGTCGTCTTTAGCTACATTCACGCATTGTACCAATGTGGGGAATCGAACCCAGGTCTTCGGCGTGACGAGCGAACGCTTTAACCACTAGGCTACCCCACCGTCCTAGGCAATATTGGATTGAGTGAGTGAGAGTTTGGTTTTACACCGTCTTTAGCACCATTCCAGTAATTTCACGGCGGGGGACACCACAAATGGGTTTCACACATTCTACCCATGTGGGGAATCGAACCCAGGTCTTCGGCGTGACGAGCGAACGCTTTAACCACTAGGCTACCCCAACGCCCTAGACAATATTGGAAACGTTATGAGACAATCTCGTTTCAGGAAACCGATCTAACATTTCCTTTGAGACCATCATAACCTAATTTGAAAATGAAAATGTAAATAGGTGTGTCTTTTGTATGACGCATGTATTGAATGCCGTTTGGCAAGCCCTACTACCGCTACCACGGTAACGCTGCTCCTCCACCCCGTTATAACGCATCATGCACTAAATATACCGGGTGAATAGACGCCAGTATGGAGTCAAGCTGCCCGGGTTATTGTGTGACTGGGGCGCCTCCCCCGTTTGTGTATACGAAGGCTTTTCAGTCGGGTCTGTTATTGTGACCACCTTACTTTACTGGTATACAAAGCCGCTGTAGCTATCACGTGACTAGGACCTCTGTTCACGGGAAGACACGATACCATCATTTATCTGGAATTCAGGTATGGAGAACTCTTATCTTCCGTTATATAACGATCATATTAGCATCAATTGTTTTGAAAGGGTGTTTGTGGATTCAAAGGAATGTCAGTTCATCACGCCATGTTGAACTCTAGTCCAGGTTTAATTACCTCAGATCGCAGGTCTAAGTATCTGTGAAAGGAAACTCTGATTTCGTGAATGATACGAACTACACAAGCAGTCGAACCTTGGGCCGATTTCATTGATTTCATGATATGTCAATACATTCCTATATACTTATATATTATATACATATATACTATATACATATATACCATATACACATATACCATATACATATATACCACATGTATTTACATGTACACGGTGATTAAAAAACTGTCATTTCGTCTTAAATCGGTTCGGGGCGGTGGGTTAGCCTAGTGGTTAAAGCGTTCGCTCGTCACGCCGAAGACCCGGGTTTGATTCCTCACATGGGTACAATATATGAAGCCCATTTCTGGTGTCTCCTGCTGTGATATTGCTGGAATAGTGCTAAAGCGGCGTAAAACTAAACTCACTCACTTACTTGAATTGGTCACGATTCAGTTACCTTTCATCTCATGCCAACATCTGTCATCAGGTTATATTTCCGAAAACAGGTTTTGATTACTCGAATGATATACACTGCAGGTTAACCAGTTATATCATCTCTTGTCCGGCTTACCTGTGTTATTTTGGGGTTGAAGTTATGACAGCAAGATTTGATTTCATGAATGATATGCACAGTGACTATACGTTTACAATTCGCCTTCAGCATTTCTGGAAACATGCTTGAATTATATTTGTGTTGAAAGCTATGACAGGAAGATTTGATTTCATGAATGATATCATCCTCGATAATCTCCAGGGTATACGTTACGATCACTCTCCATTATATAGTAAAGAGTGATCGTAACGTATACCCTGGAGATTATCGAGGATGGAATGATATTCACTTACCACTGACGTAGAAAGTTATGCCATAAGTGGATGCCATTATGCACATCGTGCTTCGTTGCCGGTGTATTAGGTAACAACAACAACAACAACAACAACAACAACAACAGCAACAACAGAAACAACAACAGAACGAATAGTCCTTCGTGTTGAATCGTTCTGGGTATTATCAAAACGCAGTGATGAAAAGATACGTTTAATTAAAACGTTAATGATCCACCGTTTACGGCTGTGAGACACTATAAGGTATATTATAAATACGTGGAATATGGAATAAGTGGCCTATACCAATAGTATTGATATTCAACAATAATACAAGTAACCCAGATATCATCACATTAAACCACCGTGATATTGTTGGAATATTGCTAAAAGCGGCGTAAAACTAAACTCACTCACTCACTCACTCATCACATGAAACATGTTTCTTTTTCCAGGTTGAAGATTCCCGGTTTTGGCAGTAATGCAATACAATAGCGGGCGAGACAAAACTAACCGTACTTTCTGAACACCATATTTATTAAATATTATGCACATATTTCCAGGCATTTGGCTCAAAGTGTCATACAGGGCCTGTTTAACAACGTGACATTCATCTACAACTGAGCATTAAACTCTCTTCCCTCTAACGGAAGGCGAGAGTATCACCCATTACATATATTTAAGTCCTAGGTGGTACACACTCTCGTAGACTAACGCTTAGTCTCTGAATATATATAATTGTGATAGTAACAAATAAACCCATTTAAATTGAAAAGGAGCCCCAGCGAGATGGGAGATTTAGAACTTGAGGAAATCTAACTTGCTTCATGTAGGGCTTTAGGTTTTCAGGGAGGGCTAGACTGTAGGGAATGTAACGCCATTCAGGGCCTGTGAGACAGACTATCTCTCTAGATACAGCCTTGTCTTCTAATTTGAGCTGTGTGGTAGGAGCGTTTTGTGCTCTGGTGATTCTTTTAGTAATCTTATAATGTTGTTAAAAATATGACATGTGTCTAAATTGTTTTGATAAATTTACTGTTAGTACCCAAGATCACCTTTAAACTTTGTAATTGTATGGTTGTTTAGTATATTTCGGGAAAAAACTTCGTTTACTAGTTTAAGAAATACATAATACATAAATAAACGAATACATACGACGCAATATAAATATCTACATAGGACCTGTCTTCAAACAAAGGGACTTTAAAACACCCGGATTTACGTCAACACAGCCATGGCTGTCCAAGTCGCCCATGTGAAACACGCCTCGCATTGAATCTCCACACCTACCAGTACAATTTGCTTATGTTTACCGAGGCATAACGAAACGAAACATGCTATTTATAATGGGCAATGTTGCTTTGTTGGTTAAGGTTGGGTCGCGGCCGGTATCGGTGTTATGAATAGAGAGTCGTGACACACCCAGTTTATATCGCTGGGAATCTCATACATGTCATGATGTTTGATAAAACGTGTATTAAAGGCAGGGTAAGATACGCCTTGTTAGGTCTGGGATACAAGGGTATGATGCACACATGACATGATATATTACAGAATGGGGAAAATATTCAAAAGATTGAAGGTTCGTGATCTTTGCGAGATTGGTTGTTGCGAGAATTATTGGTTTGCCTAACTTTACGTGTATTGTTGTTTTATGCTGCATTCATCTATGTAACCTACATGCTGAGTGAGTGAGTTTAGTTTTACGCCGCACTCAGCACTACTCCAGCTTTATGGCGGTCTACATGCTGAAGTGTATCAAATGAACTTATCTTAATCCTGTGATGTGTGACTTTATGTATTGGGCACTTCGAGCATGCGTAGATAAATGCGCATTATTTATTTATTTATTTATTTATTTATTTATTTATTTATTTATTTATTTATTTATTTATTTATTTATTTATTTATTTATTTATTTATTTATTTATTTATTTTATTTATTTATTTATTTATTTATTTATTTATTTGGCTGTGGGGTAGCTTAACTAAAGCGGTTAAAGCATTCGCTCGTCACACCGAAGACCTGGGTTCGATTCCCCACATTTCTGGTGTCCCTCGCCTGGATATTGATGGAATATTGCGTAAAACCCAACGTAAACCCTCCTCACTCACCCAGGTCTGTCACATCTTTATTGCGGCAGCCTGTAAATGATAGAGCTGGGACCAGACAAACTAGTGATTGATATTCTGAGTAAATTAAAACAAAGGGACACTGACGAGAAGCAAAGGTTCGCTAGTGACCACAGCAAGTCCCCACAGGTACCTTTAATTCACGACGCAATATGTTGTGTAAAGACTTTGTTAGGACCAATCCTACATCAAGGGTATATTGTACCACGAGGACTTTGTTGAATAGCATGGCTCCTTGTTTACAGATTCAACCAGGCTTTACGCGGCTTTTAACAATATTCCATTAATACCAAAATTGGACTTCACACGTTGTACCCATGTGGGGAATCGAACCCGGGGTTTCAGCGTGACGAGCGGACGCTTTAACCACCAGGCTACCCTACCGTCCCTGGTATCTACCGAGATTGGTTCAATGCTGGACTATTACTGTAAGCGGCTTTAAACTATATTCAGTCATTCATTCACTTAGTGAGAATTTTCCCCCGCAATGCAGGCTTTTGTGTAAGGAAGATTTCAATTTCGCTGAACATTGAATAATATTACAGCAATCGATGGGTGTCGGTATCGATATAGAAGTTTGTCTTATGTGTATTTTCAAAAGATCTGTAACCTTGCAAGACGTTTTTGTTCCATTTTACAGACTGACATTCTGTAATGCGCTGAGAAAGAACCAACACAAGACTTGAACAGAAGAGTTACTGGATTGAGAATTTAGTTTGATTACATCGTCATAAAAAAATTGTGTCACTCTCAGCTCCTTGCGGAGTATCCGTGAACTAGCTTGTACTCAACAACCATGTATAGCGGCAGTCGGTTGAATCTCGGGTGGCACAGTGACCGGGTCCACAGGGCGGGGTATTCCACCCGGTCCAGTAGAGCCAGCAGAGCCAGTACATACACGGAGGATCCAGTGGACCCAATTCAACTCAGGAGAACACTGGAAGAGGTGAGATTGTTAACGTCAGTATTGGAACTTAGGAGAATGTCACTTCCGTACATGATGGTCCACTGCTTCATTACATTCAGTCATTAACAGTAAATCTCACCTTTCACCAGTTTATTCCTGTACTATAGCACATGACCCTTTATAAAGTATGAAAAGCCTGGGCATGGGGGATAGTGATCAGAGTTGCCACCCTTGGTTATCCACAGGATCTGAGGCTTCGTCGTACCCGATTGTAAGCCGTAGTCGGTCAGCATGATACCATTGCCTGTGTTTTGGAGATTGCAAAATACCAAGTTTTAAATATTATTTTATTAAGTAAACATCTATCTTTGCCTTTTTCATCCATGACATGACCCAACTATTATACCTTTTAAAATACCAGTAAAGAGATCCGGGTTAGATTTGGTCTTCAGCAACCCATGCTTTCCGTAAGAGGCGACTAACGGGATCAGGTAGTCAGGCTCACTGACTTGGTTGACACATGTCACCGTATCCCAATTGTGTAGATCGATGCTCATGCTGTTGATCACTGGTTTGTCTTGTCCAGACTTCACTATTTACATACCGCCGCCATAGAGCTTGAATACTGCTGAGTGCGGCGTAAAACAACAAGGAAAGAACGAAAAGCCTTTCAAACAGCGTTAAAACTCACCCAAATCGGGGAATTGATGACTTCAGTTTAGTCATAAGGGGGATCGCGGAAGGTCGCGGGTTCGATCCCCGACCGCGTCATACCAAAAGACGTTAAAATATGGTACTTGTTGGTCCCTGCCTGGCGCTCGGCATTAATGGGTACAACAAGGACTGGTCGGCTCGGAGTCAGTATAATGTGTCTGGGTGAGGTATTCATGCTTCACTGCGGCATGGTATCTCAGTGGGCTAGCACTATAAAACCAGCTTCAGTCTGGGCTAGTACAAGCAGCCGCACATACACATACACGCGCATGCACGTCGTCATATGAGCGAAATATTCTCAAGCACGACGTTAAACCCAATTTCACCTCACCTCATAAGGGGGATCGAGCCCACCTGTGACTGGGTGTAAAAACCTTAAACACTGACTCTTTCAGTGTTGTCACAAGCCCTAGTGTACAGTACACAAGCCTGTGCACTTAAAAGTACCCACGAATCCGTTGGTATATGACCAGATGGTGGCCACATGAATACGTGCAAACACCTAGTTGTGGGTACAACAACGTGCATTAAACTTGGACAAAGTACTGTGACTATGTGTCCCAGTCCACCCAGCTGTGAATGGGTACCTCGTAAGGATGGGAAAGCCACAATAACTCGGTGCGCCTACTGGCTGCAAGAGTTGTATACTCCCCAAGGAGTTGAGATTGATAATACGATGTGTCATTGAGATTGACATCCAGTAATCGAGGGTAAAGATACCAGCGCCTTGAGCATGCACTAGTTGCGTGGATATGTGCGCAATGTAAATATCCTATAATAATAAAAAGTGAATTCAGATGGAAATACATGTTTGGACTTAGAATTTGAAGGGAAATTTAGTAAAACGTAACCGTTGAGAACACTTTGTGGTAAATTACTATGATATATGTCTAAAAAGTTTCCGATTTTAATTTCAGCATTTCAGACCACTCTTTCAAGGGGTGAGTATTAACTCTAAAATCTCTAAAAAAGTAATTTGAAATTTACAAAAGTATATAAAAGAAAATGAGAATGTATTAATTTTCATCGATGAGCGCAGTGCACATCCTGATTCCGGATCCCGACAGGTTTTGTGAGTTGCTGGTCGTGAGTCCATGTTAATATATAGTCTCTGGTTCACCTGGTCCCGACTCGATTGTTTACAGGTTGCAATGATATTACTGCAACGCTGCTGATTGTGGCGTTAAGAAATATTCAGTTACGATATGGACTATAATTATCTCATGGTCATACTATGGCGCTGTATCGATCAACCACCAGGTTACATGAACTGTAACCCGTGAAGATCCGGGTTAGAAATGGTCTTTAGTAATGCTTGTCGTAATATCGGAATCGGGTGGTCAGGCTCGCTGACTTGGTTGACACATGTCGCCCTATCCCAATTGCATAGATCGATGCTCATGATGTGAATCACTGGATTGTCTGGTTCAGACTCGATTATTTACAAATGTCGTAAAATAGCTGAAATATTGCTGAGTGGAGCGTTAAACGAAACTGTGATAACAAAACATGTATTCTGTTTTCATGAGATAACATAGTGAATATGTTACTGATGGTGTACTCGTTATTGTAGTTCGTGTACGGCGGGGAGCAGATTACCAACAATGAGTTACTGATGATGTACTCGTTATTGTAGTTCGTGTACGGCGGGGAGCAGATTACCAACAATGAGTTACTGATGATGTACTCGTTATTGTAGTTCGTGTACGGCGGGGAGCAGATTACCAACAATGAGTTACTGATGATGTACTCGTTATTGTAGTTCGTGTACGGTTATTGGGGAGCAGATTACCAACAATGAGTTGCTGATGTATGTTATTGTAGTTCGTGTACGGCGGGAGCAGATTACCAACAATGATTGATGATGTTCGTGTACGGCGGGGAGCAGATTACCAACAATGAGTTACTGATGTGTACGTGTTACGGCGGGGAGCAGATTACCAACAATGAGTTGCTGATGATGTACTCGTTATTGTAGTTCGTGTACGGCGGGGAGCAGATTACCAACAATGAGTTGCTGATGATTACTCGTTATTGTAGTTCGTGTACGGCGGGGATGATTACCAACTCTGATGATGTACTCGTTATTGTAGTTCGTGTACGGCGGGGAGCAGATTACCAACAATGAGTTGCTGATGATGTACTCGTTATTGTAGTTCGTGTACGGCGGGGAGCAGATTACCAACAATGAGTTGCTGATGATGTACTCGTTATTGTAGTTCGTGTACGGCGGGGAGCAGATTACCAACAATGAGTTACTGATGATGTACTCGTTATTGTAGTTCGTGTACGGCGGGGAGCAGATTACCCACAATGAGTTACTGATGATGTACTCGTTATTGTAGTTCGTGTACGGCGGGGAGCAGATTACCCACAATGAGTTACTGATGATGTACTCGTTATTGTAGTTCGTGTACGGCGGGGGCAGATTACCCACAATGAGTTACTGATGATGTACTCGTTATTGTAGTTCGTGTACGGCGGGGAGCAGATTACCCACAATGAGTTACTGATGATGTACTCGTTATTGTAGTTCGTGTACGGCGGGGAGCAGATTACCAACAATGAGTTACTGATGATGTACTCGTTATTGTAGTTCGTGTACGGCGGGGAGCAGATTACCTACAATGAATGATGATGTACTCGTTATTGTAGTTCGTGTATGCAGATTACCAACAATGAGTTATTGATGATGTACTCGTTATTGTAGTTCGTGTACGGCGGCGGCAGGAACAATGAGTTGCTGATGGTGTACTCGTTATTGTAGTTCGTGTACGGCGGGGAGCAGATTACCAACAATGAGTTACTGATGATGTACTGCTCGTTATTGTAGTTCGTGTACGGCGGGGAGCAGATTACCAACAATGAGTTGCTGATGATGTACTCGTTATTGTAGTTCGTGTACGGCGGGGAGCAGATTACCAACAATGAGTTACTGATGATGTACTCGTTATTGTAGTTCGTGTACGGCGGGGAGCAGATTACCAACAATGAGTTGCTGATGATGTACTCGTTATTGTAGTTCGTGTACGGCGGGGAGCAGATTACCAACAATGAGTTACTGATGATGTACTCGTTATTGTAGTTCGTGTACGGCGGGGAGCAGATTACCAACAATGAGTTACTGATGATGTACTCGTTATTGTAGTTCGTGTACGGCGGGGAGCAGATTACCAACAATGAGTTGCGACAGCATCTTCTTGACGACAACTACAGACGTCTTCTACCACGTGACAAGTTGTATGCCGTCATGGACCTCGTCGACTACAACCCCAGCAAGTCCATCAGCTACATGGCCTTCGTCAGACTTGTAAGTTACTCTCCAGGCTGAGGGGTAGCATAATGGTTAAAGCGTTCGTTCGTCACGCCAAGGTTCGGGTTCGGGTAACTTTTCGAGAATACAGACTTCATCCACAGTGACAGGGGCCGGTCAGGCTCATATGATATATAAAAACACCTACATTTAACAATAGTGTGATATCGATTTTTAAAATGATAAAATTACGTTCTTTTACTGAATACATATCCTTTATTCTTGTTCCTTGCAATCTGAAGTTTTTCATGCACCTGGCGTCCACTTGTTTAATATTGTATCTGGCATGAAATCATTTAGTCTTGTCCTGACATGATAACATTTAGTCTTGTTACTGACATGATAACATTTAGTCTTGTTACTGACATGATAACATTTAGTCTTGTCCTGACATGATAACATTTAGTCTTGTTGCTGACATGATAACATTTAGTCTTGTTACTGACATGGTAACAGTTAGTCTTGTTACTGACATGATAACATTTAGTCTTGTCCTGACATGATAACATTTAGTCTTGTCCTGACATGATAACATTTAGTCTTGTCCTGACATGATAACATTGAGTCTTGTTACTGACATGATAACATTTAGTCTTTGTACTGACATGATAACATTTAGTCTTGTCCTGACATGATAACATTTAGTCTTGTCCTGACATGATAACATTTAGTCTTGTCCTGGCATGATAACATTTAGTCTTGTCCTGACATGATAACATTTAGTCTTGACCTGGCATGATAACAACTAGTCTTGTCCTGACATGATAACATTTAGTCTTGTCCTGACATGATAAGAGTTAGTCTTGTCCTGACATGATAACAGTTAGTCTTGTCCTGACATGATATCATTTAGTCTTGTCCTAACATGATAACATTTAGTCTTGTCCTGACATGATAACATTTAGTCTTGTCCTGACATGATAACAGTTAGTCTTGTCCTGGCATGATAATATTTAGTCTTGTCCTGACATGATAACATTTAGTCTTGTCCTGGCATGATAACATTTAGTCTTGTCCTGGCATGATAACATTTAATCTTGTCCTGACATGATAACATTTAGTCTTGTCCTGACATGATAACAATTAGTCTTGTCCTGACATGATAACAGTTAGTCTTGTCCTGACATGATAACATTTAATCTTGTCCTGTCATGATAACATTTAATCTTGTCCTGTCATGATAACATTTAATCTTGTCCTGACATGATAACATTTAGTCTTGTCCTGACATGATAACATTTAATCTTGACCTGGCATGATAACATTTAGTCTTGTCCTGTCATGATAACATTTTGTCTTGTCGTGACATGATAACATTTAATCTTGTCCTGTCATGATAACATTTAATCTTGTCCTGTCATGATAACATTTAATCTTGTCCTGACATGATAACATTTAGTCTTGTCCTGGCATGATAACATTTAGTCTTGTTACTGACATGATAACAATTAGTCTTGTTACTGACATGATAACATTTAGTCTTGTCCTGACATGATAACATTTAGTCTTGTCCTGACATGATAACATTTAGTCTTGTTACTGACATGATAACAGTTAGTCTTGTCCTGACATGATAACATTTAATCTTGTCCTGACATGATAACATTTAATCTTGTCCTGGCATGATAACATTTAATCTTGTCCTGACATGATAACATTTAGTCTTGTTCCTGACATGATAACATTTAGTCTTGCTCCTGACATGATAACATTTAGTCTTGTCCTGACATGATAACATTGAGTCTTACTCCTGACATGATAACATTGAGTCTTGTTACTGACATGATAACATTTAGTCTTGTTACTGACATGATAACATCTTGTCTTGTTACTGACATGATAACATTTAGTCTTGTTACTGACATGATAACATTTAGTCTTGCTCCTGACATGATAACATTGAGTCTTGCTCCTGACATGATAACATTTGGTCTTGCTCCTGACATGATAACATAGTCTTGTCCCGGTTTTACAACCTGACATCTGATTTACAAACTTCTTCACAAACTGCTTCTAGGTTACAGGAGAGGAAGCAGATGAAGACAGATTCAATAACTCCGAAGACGGCTCCAGCGACGACTTCAACGACGTGAGCATACTGTACGACGTCTGTCGCAACACAACGAATCCACAAGACCTGTTGGAGTTTTCCTCCGGATGCTCCTGGCTTCCCCCTCCCTTCTTCATCCTGCTGATCTCTGTAACTCAGGTGGGTGATGCAGGACATTCTTTTGGCGAACCTTATTTTCAGTGATCAGTTCAATTTTCATCGATATTTTTCCAGTAACGCCAATGGAATCTGTTCCGTTGGATAATGGAGTAGCATTAATAGTATTAATTTATAACGAGGGGATTGGGTGCAACATGGACGATGGGGTAGCCTAGTGGTTAGAGTGTTCGCTCGTCACGCCGAAGACCCGGGTTCGATTTCCCACATGGGTAAGATGTGCGGTGCCCATTTCGCCGTGATATTGCTTGAATAGTTCTAAAAGCGGCATAAAACCATACACACGTGGGTGTAAAATGGAGACCTGCCGAATGCAAAATATGGATTTAGTGGATGTAACATGCAGATTGGGTGGATTCAAAATGGGGATTTCGTAGGAGCAAATGGGAATTTTTTCCTTTGATGGAAACAGGAACATCACTTAGAGTTCCGCCACCCAGTATTTATTAACTGTAGTGGGAAACGGTCACTCTCCACAGATTATCGTCTATGCTGTGTACGCAAGTCAACAGGCCACGCCAGTGACTGCCATGGACGGCGTCCCCATCACCAGCTCCATCATCTACAACCCCGCCCGCAGATATGAAGTGTGGAGGTTCATCAGCTACACCTTCCTCCACCAGGGGTAAGTTGAGGGTTCCAATGGCTGTGTTTACCCGTGAAGATCCGGGTTAGAATTGGTCTTCAGTAACCCATGTTTGTCGTAAGAGGCGACTAACGGGATCGGGTGGTCAGGCTCGCTGACTTTGGTGACACATGTCATCGGTTCCCAATTGCGTAGATCGATGCTCAAACTGCTGATCACTGGATTGTCTGGTCGATTATTTAACTAAATACTAAATAAATTTGAATTGTTCTGCATAGTATTAAACTTTACAGATGACGGGAGGCAATGAGACAGCCTGGTGATTACACAAAGTTGTCGATTTTGATTTTATTATTCCTCCGGGTGCCACTATTCCCTTGAGAGCAAAAACAACAATAATTCTAAACCAAAATGTCACACTGTCTGATGTTTTCAAAACCGATCCTTAGAATCAAAATGACTAAAGTGGGCTATGTCGAACACACACGGCTCTATACTGACCAATAGCTGCAAAGTACAGCCAAACCACTTTGTGTCGAAGTGTTCGAGTTATCCAACGTTCGTAATATGAAAAAAATGAACTTGGCATTCATTGACCGATTGGCATTCCTTTCCTTCGACTTATCCGAATACATTTGAGCTGGAAGTAATTGTTTGAAATTGGAAAATTACTTCGAGACAACTCCCAGGTTAAATAGTACTAAATTACGAAGTAACACACAGTTACCATGCGTTTACTTCGAGATAATTGTGACTTCTACACAATGGTGTTTGATTGCAACCATGCTCATGATTACCGAGTCTGACAAACATGTTCTGCTTGGCAGATACGTGGATCTTCTGTTAACCATTATACTTCAAGTCCTCATCTGTTTCCCGGTGGAGATCGTCTTCTCGTTCTGGAGGATAGCCATACTGTACATCGTCGGCGTTATGTCAGGTAGGTTCTGATTGGTTCACTTTCAAACAGGCTGGCGCGGTTGTGATTCAAAATAATGACGCTGTTTAAAAAAAAAAAATCCCACTGCACCAGACACCTTCTTTTGTACACCAGTCTGGGACGGCCGAAAATAGTGAGTGGGTTCGGTTTTACACCGCTTGTAGCAATATTCCAGCAATATCACAGCGGGGGACTCCAGAAATGGGCTCCTCACATTGTACTCATTTTGGGAATCGAACACGGGTCTTCGGTGTAACGAGCGACCGCTTTAACCACTAGGCTACCCCGCCGCCCCGGTAGATACAATAAGTCCACTGGGTGGATTGTGATTGTGTCAATACAAAATAAAGATTTAATAGATACTACATGCAAATTAGAAGGATTCAAAATGGGGATCGGGTGGGTACAAAATTGGGATTTGTTGATCTAACATACGGATTTGATTGGTTCAAAATGTCAAAATGAGGATTATGTTTGGTTCTAATCATATGATGTTATAATTGTTTGAAACATGATGTTATATTTCTGATCATATGATATCATATTTGGTTCTAATCATGATATTATATTTGGTTCAAACATGATATTATATTTGATTCTAATCACATGATATTATATTTGGTTCAAGCTCGATATTATATATTTGGTTCTAATCATATGATATTATATTTGGTTCTAATATTGTATAATATTTGGTTCTAATCCTATAGTATATTTGGTTCTAATCATATATTATATTTGGTTCTAATATTGTATAATATTTGGTTCTAATCCTATAGTATATTTGGTTCTAATCAAATATAATATTTGGTTCTAATCCTATAGTATATTTGGTTCTAATCATATATAATATTTGGTTCTGATCATATATAATATTTGGATCTAATCATGTTCGTGTGTTCCAGGCTCACTGTTGCACTCAATCAGCGACCACAGGACGTATTTGGTCGGCGGCAGTGGCGGCACATACTGCATCCTAGCAGCTCACTTCGGTGCAATGATATACGTAAGTAGATTTCATTACCTCACGAATATATCTTGACGGATTAGTCGCACACACTTGTTGTTTTGTTGTCTTTTTTCCACTCTTTATTATACACTTTTTGAAGACCACGATTGTTACACATCGACCTAAATATGCCACGTGGTCAGGGCACCACGGTGGTTTTCACACATAGCTTCATTCAACATAACTATACACTGACTGACTGACTGACTGACTGCCTGAGTTTAGTTTTACGCCGCTTTTAGCAATATTCCAGCAACATCACGGCGGGGGACACCAGAAATGGGCTTCACACATTGTGCCCATGTGGGGAATCGAACGCGGGTCTTCGGAGTGACGAGCCAACGCTTTAACCACTAGGCTACCACACCGCCCCTATAACTGTACACAAAGAACTTAATTAAGCAACCCTGTATTTTCGCAGTGATAGGTTTTCAACACGTACAGAAAACTTTTCGTGGTGACCACGATGGAAAAACATGAGTTTTTCTGACCCGTATGATCCTTTGACTCGTAAAACACGACAAAGTGTTGGAATCAATGTTGATGTTACGATAATAATTGCTCATTTTAAAAAAAACCCAACTGATTTTCATACAAAACCATGTCTGTTCAAGTATGGCCCTGGAATGTTTAATGTTGAATTTATTGGTGAATGTGAACATTCAAAATGCCAGTTTACGTGTCTTACACGCTTCAAGGTCAATAGGGGCGGTGGGGTAGCCTAATGGTTAAAGCGTTGGCTCGTAACGCCGAAGACCCGCGTTCGAATCCCGACATGGGCACAATGTGTGAAGCCCATTTCTGGTGTCCCCCGCCGTGATGTTGCTGGAATATTGCTAAAAGCGGCGTAAAACCAAACTCAGTCAGTCAGTCAGCCAAGGTCAATACCGAGTGCAACCTCCATGTGACTGTATGGCAGCCACCCTCCTCCTCATACCCCCTGTCAGCCTCCTGATCCTCTGAAGGGGCAGTCTTCGCCATTCCTCGTGTAAAGCAGCTTCCAATTGAACCAGGTTCTGTACAGGAGGATCCCTTTGTTGCACACGACGACCAATCCTGTCCCATATATGCTCCAAAGGGTTAAGATCGGGGCTCATTTAATCGTGAGATATGTCAAGGGGAATAAACTAAGTTCTTTGTGTATAATAGAAATGCATTGAACACAAGGTTGATCGATTATTTGTTGTTAAGAAAAAGTCAAAAGTGGACAACATTGTGTTTATAGGAACTACTGTTTATTACTTCTAGCTGTTTGATAAATTCTTTTTAAAACTTTGAGTGTTGGAACAGTATTTGTCACATTACACTTGTCAACATAACATTTTGCTACTGTGAACACATAATTAAAACTTATAACATTAGCTTTATCTAAAGGATCTGTTTCCTGACATCCAAGCAATACATTCACTCTGTAACTTTGTGGTTTGAAATGTAAGGATTTCTAGATATCTTAATAAAAATTATTGAAATTATTGAGTATTATTGAAAATATTTTCAATAGATTGGGTTCTCTGTAATTTGTGCTACAATGCGATTTTAGAGAGAAAAAGAATTGAAATTCACAGACACTTGTAGCATCTCATATCATTATTTTCTTTGGCCGTGTTATAGATAGATGACTGACTGACTGACTGAGTTTAGTTTTACGCCGCTTTTAGCAATATTCCAGCAATATCACGGCGGGGGACACCAGAAATGGGCTTAACACATTGTGCCCATGTGGGGAATCGAACCCGGGCCTTCGGCGTGACGAGCCAACGCTTTAACCACTAGGCTACCCCACCGCCCCTATAGATAGATGAGACGGAGCCGATTTGTTGTTAAACGGTTTGCTTATCACACTAAGAGTCCCGAGTTTGATTCCCTCTATACAACGAGCGAAACCCTTTCTTTACGGGCTTTACTGATACCCGTCATGTTGCGATAATGAAGGAGGACCGGTGGGGTAGCCTAGTGGTTAAACCGTTCGCTCGTCACGTCGAAGATCGGGTTCACTTCCCCAGATGGGTACAGTGTGTGAAGCTCATTTTTGGTGTCCCCCGCCGTGATATTGCTGGAACATTGCTAAACACGGCGTAAAACCATACTCAGTCAGTCAGTCTTAAAGTCGATTCTCAGACCTTTTTATGTCATATTACTGGAGTATTGCTAAAAGTTGCGATCATCATAACTCTCAAGTTAATCACATTAAGCAATGAAGGCTGCGCAATATAACCGGTTTACCTGTATTTACCGATTCAGACATGAAAACGATACGTATTGCGATACGCTGATCGAAAACCGGTATTTTGACTTGCAATCGGAAAACTTCGTAACACTCGGAAATCTTCGGGTATTTCCTTTTTTCATTTGTGCCAAATATTATTCACATTTTTATTTTATCATGATTAAAAGTTGTTATTAAAGCTTAATCAAGCATGGTAATTTGGTTGTGTTTTTGCTTTATAAATCAAGCATTAACTCGATTATAAGTATTTTTTTGTTTAAAAATACTTCATGCAATATATTGCAATACATACCGCAATATAAGCTTTCGCATCGCAATATATCGCAATATGAAAATTCCCTGCAATACCCACCCCTATTAAGCAGTGAAGGCTGCTTTATGCCTTTTAGTTTTGTTTGTTTGTTGTTTAATGCCACACTCAGCAATATTCCAGCAATATTCCAGCAATATTGCCGCAGTCTGTAAATAATCGACCTGTCGTAACTCTATAGTTTATCATAGGCTTACGAATGTCGCAGCGCTGCGAACGTGTAGTGGATAAGGACCCAGAACCAGACAATCCAGTGATCAACAGCATGAGCATCATCCTACGCTGTTGGGATGCAATGACATGTGTCAACCAAGTCAGCGAGCCTGACCACCCGATCCCGTTAGTCGCCTGTTACGACAAGCATGGTTTGCTGCTTCACGCAACGGTGACCTGTTTTAAATTGTTAAATTGTTCTTTTTCTACAGAACTGGAGTGAGCTCAAGAAGGCTGACGACGGCCCCACGAAGAGGATATTTTTTCACCCCCTGTTTCGGTTGGTGGTGATTGCCGTGCTTGGTATGTAAACTTAAGTTCTTTGGCACCGTTAAGAATTGCACCTCTGTTATGTGAAACGAGGCGGAGGGGTAGCCTAGTGGTTAAAGCGTTCTCTCGTCACGCCGAAGACCCGGGTTCGATTCCCCAGATGGGCACAATGTGCGAAGTCCATTTCTGGTGTCCCCCGCCGTGATGTTGCTGGAAAATTGCTAAAAGGGGCATAAAACTCACTCACTCACTCTTATGTGAAACGGCATTAATGCTATAGTATACTACGGTTATGACAAACTCGAAGGCACAACTGATTTTAGTTCCTCATAACCCAGTTCGTAACTCGCATTTCGACTAAAATATACAGCAAGTGGCCGGAGCCAAAAATATGTTTGTTATATCGGTCAGTTCGTTATATCCGTCAGTTCGTTATATCCGACAGTTCGTTATATCCGTCAGTTCGTTATATCGGTCAGTTCGTTATATCCGTCAGTTCGTTATATCCGTCAGTTCGTTATATCCGGCAATTCGTTATCTCCGGCAGTTCGTTATATCCGGCAGTTCGTTACATCCGGCAGTTCGTTATATCCGGCAGTTCGTTATAAGCGTGTTCGTTATAAATGTAGTTCATTGTATATAGGCTGTCACGTCGTCACGGTACTGTTCAAAAGTGGCTTTAAACAAATCACACATTCATATAATTGTGCTAGCGCCGCACTCAGCAGTATTCCATTTAAATAACGACAATCTGTCATTAATCGGATTTGGACCAGACAATTCAGTGATCGACAGCATGAGCATCGATCTACGCAACTGGGATACGATGACATGTGTCAACCAAGTCAGCGAGCCTGACCACCCGATCCCGTTAGTCGCCTCTTACGACAAACATGGCTTGCTGAAGATCAATTCTAACCCGGATCTTCGTGGGCATGAGTGTCACAAGGCGTGGCAATAATGTTTTTCTTTCCTAAACCGATATTTACCCATGAGAACAGGTGGCCTTGTTGTCCAAAGCGCCACATTTTTTAGTGCAGAGCTTCGTCACTTATATTTCCATGTTTGCCAACAATGTATTAGTTTACCTTGTGATGAAACTGTAGTATGAGTGCGGCGTAACACAATATTCACTGACTCTAGTTTTGTATGTGTTTCAGGGATCATACAGATAAGCCTTGCTGTGTACAGGAGATTCTTCGCTGATGACGTTCTCAACATTGGGATTGGTCACTTCGCAGGAGGAATTTTAGCTGGTCAGTTTCAACAGAATATCAACTTTTGCAAAGTGTACCCCTAGTAAATTGCATCCGTGAGCTTGAGTTAACGATTTTGCCCGATTATGTCATTTAGTTTGTAGGGTAGGCCCAAATTTCAGTTTACAAATGTTTTTTTTTTTTTTCATATTTCAAATTGAAAATGAAATTCAGTTTGTAGCTAACCCCAATTCCAGTTTACATATGTTTCATTTTTTTCAAATTTAAAATTGAAAAAGAAATTCATTTGTAGAGTAGAACCCAATTCCAGTTTACATATGTTACATTTTTTTCAAATTTAAAATTGAAAAAGATATTCAGTTTGTAGGGTTTCCCCAATTCCGCTTTACACATGTTACATTTTTTCAAATTTCAAATTGAAATGGAAATAAAGTCAAACGCCGTTGTGTCGAAATTTTGACATTGCAAGTTATTCGAGGTTCGACACAACCTCTAAATGATGACTGAATAAGGAGTGAGTGAGTGAGTGAGTGAGTGAGTTTAGTTTTACGCCGCATTAAGCAATATTCCAGCTATATGGCGGCGGTCTGAAAATAATCGAGTCTGGACCAGACAATCCAGTGATCAACATCATGAGCATCGAACTGCGCAATTGGGAACCGATGACATGTGTCAACCAAGTCAGCGAATCTGACCACCACGACAAGCATAGTCGCCTTTTGTGGCAAGCATGGGTTGCTGAAGACCTATTCTACGCGGATCTTCATGGGTCGACTGAATAAGGAAATCACAGGGACAAGGTTTTTATTTGGAGGCAACCATAAGTTCGACATATCAGAGTTCGACACATCAGAGTTCGACACATCATAGTTCGACATTTCACAGTTCGACATATCACAGTTCGACACAAAGGTGTTTGGCTGTAAATGTTTTCCAGACTACCCTTTAACGTAAACCTGTGATATAGATGTTCCGTTTGAGCACAGTTCTATTTGAGACTTATGTTCGTCTCCCATAACCATGTACAATGTAACTTATCACTGGTGCTTGATGTGTTTTAGCGTGCCATCTACCATGGTGCGATGTGAATATCTGTAAATTATTTTCCTTTTACGGTGTGAACGTGCAGTGTGAATAGTATTTGAATACTTCTATTGTCAGTCGAATATTCGATGTGGATATCATCAGATTAGTTTCCCTGTTATGTGAAGGTGTGATGTGAATTTGTATTTTTATCCATTTGCGACTTCTTGTGAAAGTAAAACGTGAACACCGTTTTGATTACTTCCCATGAAAAGCGAAGGTGCGATGTGAATATCATTAGACTACGTACGAAGGTGTGATGTGAAACGTTTTGGGGTATTTCCCATTTACACCTTTTGTGAAAATGCACCGTCAACACCATTACTTCACAAGTCATGTAAAGCTGCAATGTGAATTCCATTTCATTACTTCACAAGTCATGTGAAGACGGGATGTGAATACCACTTAACGATTTCCCATTGCCCATGTCATGTGAAGGTGTCATGTGAAGCGTTTTGGGGTATTTCCCATTTACACCTTTTGTGAAAATGCACCGTCAACACCATTACTTCACAAGTCATGTAATGCTGCAATGTGAATTCCATTTCATTACTTCACAAGTCATGTGAAGACGGGATGTGAATACCACTTAACGATTTCCCATTGCCCATATCAAGTTAAGGTGTGGTGTGAAGCGCTTTTGGGTATTTCCCTTTTACGACTTCGTGTAAAAGTGCAATGTGAACACATTTCCCATTTTCCATATCAAGTTAAGGTGTGGTGTGAAGGGCTTTGGGGCATTTCCCTTTTTACGACTTCGTGTAAAAGTGCAATGTGAACACATTTCCCATTTTCCATATCAAGTTAAGGTGTGGTGTGAAGCGCTTTTGGGTATTTCCCTTTTACGACTTCGTGTAAAAGTGCAATGTGAACACATTTCCCATTGTCCATGTCATGTGAAGGTGCGAGGTGACTAAAACCATCTTTTGATTCATATGCAGGTGTGATGCTCTGCGAGGCGTTCCTGAAAGACCGCCACAGGTACCCGTGGCAAACTAACGCTGGGAGACTGAACCTCCTGTTCTTCCTCATCTTCGCCGGGGCTTGTGCTGTCTTCAACTGCCTGTATTTAGGGTATCCTGCTGGGGACTACAGCTAGAGGTCCCACCACTGTATCTGGAGCAAATGCTGTGATGGATCGCTCTGCGACAGTCGAAACTGGGTGTGTTTTCTGTGATGTCTTAGCAAATACAGCCTATTTGGTATTTACGGTAGTATAGTAAACCGTGCATTCATGAACTGGTGGTTGTATTGTTTTAAACTGGCATACCGCAAATTCCCTAAAAGGAGCGGCTATCATTTGGGATCCGGAAATACAGCTCTAAGAAGACATTGACTATGTGATGCTTTGCCGAAAGCGTCATCCTAGGCGTCAGCTGCTTGAAGAAGGAGAACATTGCAAGATTCCTCATATGTCAACATTTCAAAGGACTGTTTCTGTAAATAGATCCCTTTTATAGTATGTACGGTAATATAGCTGACCGTACATTCATGAACTGGTGGTTGTATTGTTTTAAACTACGATATCGTAAATTCCCCAAAAGGAGCGGCCGTCGATTGGTGTCATTATCGAAGACTGTTGTGGAATGAAATTGAAAAAACTTAAAAAAAACCCATCACTATTAAAATCACATTAATGCATCATTCCAAACATGTGGAATCTCAAAACGAAACACCAAACGACAGCAACTGTGGCAGGCCAAGTGAAATATGTGAAGCTGTTCTGGTTTGGAGGATTCATAGTATGCCAAACCTATTTATACTGAAACCCCGTTAACCCGGACTACAGCACTGGTTATGTATATAGTTGTCTGGGTTAACGAATCAGTGGCGCAGAGAAATGACCTGCACATGTATGTATATTTTGTAGTTTCAAACTGTGATAGTCTAATGAGGGTTTCACGTGGCTCTACTGTGTCATATATTGTCAGTTAATGATTTGTCTTAATGGTTGTTATTGAAAATGTTAAGAAGTTTTTTCACGTAATGTTCTCATGTATTTGCCGACTTCATGAAATATTGAACGTGAGACTTGATAGATGAGATACACATCATGCTCCTGATGGCCATGGGGGTTGCCTAAGATCTGCATGTCTTATTTGGGTACCTTTCAGCGTAGATATACATGTCACATGTCAAGCTTTCGTGTTCGCACTTTATGACGCATAATAAGTAAAAATAAGTAAAATAAGTAAGTTTAGTTTTCGCTGCTTTTAGCAGTCTCCCAGCAATATCACGTCGGGACACACCAGAAATGGGCTTCACACATTGTACCCATGTGTGGAATCGAACCCGGGTCTTCAGCGTGACGTGCGAACGCTTTACCCACCAGGCTACCCCACCGCCCCTCGTAAGACTATGCCATTCGTAAGTATATGATAAGGTATAGAGTTACGACTGGACGTAACTTTACGGACGCTTTGTGAAACCGTACACTGGTGCTTACTGATGTTTAAGATGAAAAAGTAGATTAGGTTGTGTCTTATTTATACCCAGATTTGGTGAAATATGTGATTAAGGCATGAAGTGCAATTCAAGGAAAGTGAAAATTTGACGTTCCTGTTCTCTTTTACACCAATACACATAAAACTTAGGTACGTTGTTGCAAGCTTGTTGGTCATGACATGTGTGATGTTGTGGACACAATCCATATGTTCCTTATCAACATAAGGACTTTATTTTTCCTACAGTGTCATGTTTTATTTACTGAAAGGAGTTAGTGAAAAATAATTGCATAGTTATGTCACCTCAATTCTTTGAGGGTTATATGTATTTTGAGGGAATAAACAGTGCTTAGAAGGTGTTAGTTTCAAGTCACTATGTAGTCCATGTGGTTATATTTGGATATATATATATATATATATTGAGTTTTCTTAAGTCATCAATTCTAATATTTGATTTGATTTAACTGTGTTCGATTGATTGATTGAGTTTAGTTTTACACCGTACTCAGTAATATCACAATGACAGCTATATGGTGGCGGTCTGCATATTATCGGGTCAATCAGACCAGAGAATCCAGTGATCCGAATATGTTTGAAGAAAAACCTTTTCTGAATCACATCATAAACTTTGGGGATTTGTGTCTCTGATTTGGGTGAGTTTTAACGCTGTTTGAAAGGGTTTTAATTAATTCCTTGTTGTTTTACGCCGCACTCAGCAGTATTCCAGCTATATGACGGCGGTCTGTAAATAATCGAGTCTGGACCAGACAAACCAGTGATCAACAGCATAAGCATCCAAACCATGCCAGCGAGCCTGACCTCCAGATCGCCTTAGTTGCCTCTTACGACAAGTATGGGTTACTGAAGATCAATTCTAACCCGTATCTTTAAAGTCAACATTATTCTTGAAGACGTGAACACATTCAGGTTTTGTCAATGGTTTATGTACGATATTATCGATAACACAACCGATATCACAATTTTCATATCGATAATAATTGATAACGTTTCCTATCGACGATATTTCTTATTATCGATCGAATTACAACCCCATCTGGAGCTCTAACCCTTTTTGCCTTTATCATTTCCATTTCCGTTTTCTGATTGTGACTCAACAGCTGCCTGTAACACAATACCTGATTGCGACTCACCTCCTGATTGCGACTCAACAGTTGCCTGTAACACAGCGTTTCCATTTCCGTTTTCTGATTGTGACTCAACAGCTGCCTGTGACACAGCGTTTCCATTTCCGTTTTCTGATTGTGACTCAACAGTTGCCTGTAACACAGCGTTTTCATTTCCGTTTTCTGATTGTGACTCAACAGCTGCCTGTAACACAATACCTGATTGCGACTCACCACCTGATTTTGACTCAACAGTTGCCTGTAACACAGCGTTTCCATTTCCGTTTTCTGATTGTGACTCAACAGTTGCCTGTAACACAGCGTTTCCATTTCCGTTTTCTGATTGTGACTCAACAGCTGCCTGTGACACAATACCTGATTGCGACTCACCACCTGATTTTGACTCAACAGTTGCCTGTAACACAGCGTTTCCATTTCCGTTTTCTGATTGTGACACAACAGCTGCCTGTAACACACTACCTGATTGCGACTCACCACCTGATTGCGACTCAACAGTTGCCTGTAACACAGCGTTTCCATTTCCGTTTTCTGATTGTGACACAACAGCTGCCTGTAACACACTACCTGATTGCGACTCACCACCTGATTTTGACTCAACAGCTGCCTGTAACACAGCGTTTCCATTTCCGTTTTCTGATTGTGACTCAACAGTTGCCTGTAACACAGCGTTTCCATTTCCGTTTTCTGATTGTGACTCAACAGCTGCCTGTAACACACTACCTGATTGCGACTCACCAGCTGATTTTGACTCAACAGTTTCCTGTAACACACTACCTGATTGCGACTCACCACCTGATTGCGACTCAACAGCTGCCTGTGACACACCACCTGATTGTGACCCATCATCTGATTCCGTTCCCACACTTGATTCCAACCCAACGGCTGCCTGTGACTCACCAGCTGATTGCATCCCAACAACTACTTGGAGCCCTTGTGAACCCATTGACCCAGGCTTTGTACCACCTGACACACCCGTTGATTGACCCTGAGGTGTTGATGTTGTGGTTGTGCTGGATGTAGTGGAGCTCGTAGTAGGCGATGTTGTGGTTGTGCTGGATGTAGTGGAGCTCGTAGTAGGCGATGTTGTGGTTGTGCTGGATGTAGTGGAGCTCGTAGTAGGGGATGTTGTGGTTGTGCTTGATGTAGTGGAGCTCGAAGTAGGCGTAGGCGATGTTGTGTCGTAGGCGATGTTGTGGTTGTAGTAGTGGAGCTCGTAGTAGGCGATGTTGTAGCTGTGGCTGATGTAGTGGCGGGTGCTCGCGTTGTCGTACTGACCGGCTCCCTTGTTGCGAAAGAGTCTTGTATTTGAGGACTTCCGCCCAGCAGGTTCAGCAATGGAATGCTCAATTCTGGCAGCCCCGTCCCTGTGTTTGTAACCGTGTGACTTACCGCATCTGGAATGATCAAGTTCAAATTTAAGTTCAGTTTATTCTAAAAAAACCTCCACATTTGGTGGTACAAGAGAAAGTCAAACATAATTCATATAAATACATATAAATACATATAAATACATATAAACAAACATGACAAAATGACAAGCTTCACACATTGTACCCATGTGGGGAATCGAACCAGGGTCTTCGGCGTGACGAGCAAACGCTTTAACCACAAGGCTACCCCACTGCCCCCTCGAAAAAAGGTACTCTGATCATATTTCATGTATCCATGGATACCACGGTGATGATGTCGCAAAGACACGTGGATGAGATGTTCAAATGATGAGTGAGTGAGTGTAGTTTAACGCCGCACTCAGCAATATTCCAATTATATGACGGCGGTCTGTAAATAATCGAATCTGGACCAGACAATCCAGTGATCAACAGCATGAGCATCGATCTGCGCAATTGGGAACCGATGACATGTGTCAACCAAGTCAGCGAGCCTGACCAACTGATCCCGTTAGTCGCCTCTTACGACAAGCATGGGTTACTGAAGATCAATATTCTAACCCGGACCTTCACGGGTTGAAATGATGAAATGTTGTATTGGACTTTTAAATATCAAAGGAGAACCCGTTATGAGAGATGGGTCCTCAGATCACCGTTCATACTGGTTTTTTTCGGACCCAAGTTTTACAGGGGAATACTCTACGTACAACAAACTATGTATCTGATGAAGAGTACCATACCATGGATATGTAACTGATAATGTTCAAGATACTTATGATACGCAATTTGGAAGAATCGAGAAGGCGAATTGGACAGGTAGAACATATGGCGGACAGCATGGTGTGAAATAATAGGCACATATGATCCATAATAACCACAACTTGAATGAGTGAGTGAGTTTAGTTTTACGACGCACTCAGCAATATTCCAGCTATATGGCGGCGGTCTGTAAATAATCGAGCCTGGACCAGACAATCCAGTGATCAACAGCATGAGCATCGATCTGCGTAATTGGGAACCGAGGACATGTGCCAATCAAGTCAGCGAGTCTGACCACCCGATCCCGTTAGTCGCCTCTTACCACAAAGCATATTCGCCTTTTGTGGCAAGCATGAGTTGCTGAAGACCTATTCTACCCCGGATCTTCACGGGTCCAACTTGGATGAACCTGATCACCCACAATGGATACCAAATACTCCTCATGGTACATGATACATGATCTAGCCCACCACCGTTCATTATATAGTCAGATCCAGTCAAACTGTGATTCATCGGTCCATGGTACATGGTACATGATACATGATCTAGTCCACCACCCTCCATTATATAGTCAGATCCAGACAAACTGTGATTCATCGGCCCATGGTACATGATACATGATCTAGCCCATCACCCTTCATTATATAGTCAGATCCAGACAAACTGTGATTCATCGGCCCACATGATACATGATCTAGCCCATCACCCTCCATTATATAGTCAGATCCAGTCAAACTGTGATTCATCGGTCCATGGTACATGGTACATGATACATGATCTAGTCACACCACCCTCCATTATATAGTCAGATCCAGACAAACTGATTCATCGGTCCATGGTACATGGTACATGATACATGATCTAGCCCACCACCCTCCATTATATAGTCAGATCCAGTCAAACTCATGATTCATCGGATTCATCGGCCCATGGTACATGGTACATGATACATGATCTAGTCCACCACCGTTCATTATATAGTCAGATCCAGTACAAACTGTGATTCATCGGTCCATGGTACATGGTACATGATACATGATCTAGCTCACCACCCTCCATTATACAGTCAGATCCAGACAAACTGTGATTCATCGGCCCATGGTACATGATACATGATCTAGCCCACCACCCTCCATATATATAGTCAGATCCAGTCAAACTGTGATTCATCGGTCCATGGTACATGGTACATGATACATGATCTAGCCCACCACCCTTCATTATATAGTCAGATCCAGTCAAACTGTGATTCATCGGTCCATGGTACATGATACATGATCTAGTCCACCACCCTTCATTATATAGTCAGATCCAGTCAAACTGTGATTCATCGGTCCATGGTACATGGTACATGATACATGATCTAGCCCACCACCTCTTCTATTATATAGTCAGATCCAGTCAAACTGTGATTCATCGGTCCATGGTACATGATACATGATCTAGCTCACCACCCTCCATTATATAGTCAGATCCAGTCAAACTGTGATTCATCGGTCCATGGTACATGGTACATGATACATGATCTAGCCCACCACCCTTCATTATATAGTCAGATCCAGTCAAACTGTGATTCATCGGTCCATGGTACATGGTACATGATACATGATCTAGCCCACCACCCTCTATTATATAGTCAGATCCAGTCAAACTGTGATTCATCGGTCCATGGTACATGGTACATGATACATGATCTAGCCCATCACCCTTCATTATATAGTCAGATCCAGACAAACTGTGATTCATCGGTCCATGGTACATGGTACATGATACATGATCTAGTCCACCACCCTTCATTATATAGTCAGATCCAGTCAAACTGTGATTCATCGGTCCATGGTACATGGTACATGATACATGATCTAGTCCACCACCGTTCATTATATAGTCAGATCCAGTCAAACTGTGATTCATCGGTCCATGGTACATGGTACATGATACATGATCTAGTCCACCACCCTACATTATATAGTCAGATCCAGTCAAACTGTGATTCATCGGTCCATGATCCAGTCAAACTGTACATGATACATAGCTCCACCACCCTCCATTATATAGTCAGATCCATCATCGGTCCATGATCTAGTCCACCACCGTTCATTATATAGTCAGATCCAGTCAAACTGTGATTCATCGGTCCATGGTACATGGTACATGATACATGATCTAGTCCACCACCCTTCATTATACAGTCAGATCCAGTCAAACTGTGATTCATCGGTCCATGGTACATGGTACATGATACATGATCTAGTCCACCACCCTTCATTATATAGTCAGATCCAGTCAAACTGTGATTCATCGGTCCATGGTACATGGTACATGACATGATCTAGTCCACCACCCTTCATTATATAGTCAGATCCAGACAAACTGTGATTCATCGGTCCATGGTACATGGTACATGATACATGATCTAGCCTCACCACCCTTCATTATACAGTCAGATCCAGTCAAACTGTGATTCATCGGTCCATGGTACATGGTACATGATACATGATCTAGCTCACCACCCTCCATTATATAGTCAGATCCAGTCAAACTGTGATTCATCGGTCCATGGTACATGGTACATGATACATGATCTAGCTCACCACCCTCCATTATATAGTCAGATCCAGTCAAACTGTGATTCATCGGTCCATGGTACATGATACATGATGCATGATCTAGTGCACCACCGTTCATTATATAGTCAGATCCAGACAAACTGTGATTCATCGGTCCATGGTACATGGTACATGATACACGATCTAACCCACCACCCTCCATTATATCGTCAGATCCAGACAAACTGTGATTCATCGGTCCATGGTACATGGTACATGATACATGATCTAGCTCACCACCCTCCATTATTAAGTCAGATCCAGTCAAACTGTGATTCATAGGTCCATGGTACATGATACATGATATAGTCCACCACCCTCCATTATACTGTCAGATCCAGACAAACTGTGATTCATCGGTCCATGGTACATGGTACATGATACATGATCTAGCTCACCACCCTCCATTATATAGTCAGATCCAGTCAAACTGTGATTCATCGGTCCATGGTACATGGTACATGATACATGATCTAGCTCACCACCCTTCATTATATAGTCAGATCCAGTCAAACTGTGATTCATCGGTCCATGGTACATGATACATGATACATGATCTAGCACCACCGTCCTCTATTACACTGTCAGATCCAGTCAAACTGTGATTCATCGGTCCATGGTACATGGTACATGATACATGATCTAGTCCACCACCGTTCATTATATAGTCAGATCCAGTCAAACTGTGATTCATCGGTCCATGGTACATGGTACATGATACATGATCTAGCCCACCACCCTCTCCATTATACAGTCAGATCCAGACAAACTGTGATTCATCGGTCCATGGTACATGGTACATGATACATGATCTAGTCCACCACCGTTCATTATATAGTCAGATCCAGTCAAACTGTGATTCATCGGTCCATGGTACATGGTACATGATACATGATCTAGCTCACCACCCTCAATTATACAGTCAGATCCAGTCAAACTGTGATTCATCGGTCCATGGTACATGGTACATGATACATGATCTAGCTCACCACCCTCTATTATATAGTCAGATCCAGTCAAACTGTGATTCATCGGTCCATGGTACATGGTACATGATACATGATCTAGCCCACCACCCTTCATTATATAGTCAGATCCAGTCAAACTGTGATTCATCGGTCCATGGTACATGGTACATGATACATGATCTAGCTCACCACCGTTCATTATATAGTCAGATCCAGACAAACTGTGATTCATCGGTCCATGGTACATGGTACATGATACATGATCTAGCTCACCACCGTTCATTATATAGTCAGATCCAGTCAAACTGTGATTCATCGGTCCATGGTACATGGTACATGATACATGATCTAGCCCACCACCCTTCATTATATAGTCAGATCCAGACAAACTGTGATTCATCGGTCCATGGTACATGGTACATGATACATGATCTAGTCCACCACCCTTCATTATATAGTCAGATCCAGTCAAACTGTGATTCATCGGTCCATGGTACATGGTACATGATGATCATCAGATCTAGTCTACCACCCTTCATTATATAGTCAGATCAAGACAAACAGTGATTCATCGGTCCATGGTACATGGTACATGATACATGATCTAGCTCACCACCCTCCACTATACAGTCAGATTCAGTCAAACTGTTATTCATCGGTCCATGGTACATGGTACATGATACATGATCTAGCTCACCACCCTCCTACTAAACAGTCAGTTCCAGTCAAACTGTGATTCATCGGTCCATGGTACATGATACATGATGCATGATCTAGTCCACCACCGTTCATTATATAGTCAGATCCAGTCAAACTGTGATTCATCGGTCCATGGTACATGATACATGATCTAGCCCACCACCCTCCATTATATAGTCAGATCCAGTCAAACTGTGATTCATCGGTCCATGGTACATGGTACATGATACATGATCTAGCCCACCACCCTTCATTATATAGTCAGATCCAGTCAAACTGTGATTCATCGGTCCATGGTATATGCTCTTGTCCACAACCCCATTATAGATACTATCAAAGGAAAAGAAACGCATAGGCCAGAAATCTGTGGCGAAAATGTATTTTCCGACATGTATAAGTCGTCCACAAAGAGACTATTGTGCATGAAGTTTGACATCAGTTTAGAAGAAGGAAATGTCTATCCAACCAAGTGGAGACGCTGAGCGCGATGGTGACGACGTAGCATGGTCTCGACGTCGGATCTCCTGGCTCTCAGACCAATCTCTTTCAACTTGTTCCGTACAGTTTGACCGGACATCCTCCGATGTGCTCTCACCCGTGGCAGTACGATCACGCAAATGTAGTACCCGGATGTACCGATCTTGGGCTGCAGTGGTGACTCGAGGTCTGCCTGTAAGAGGACGATCATTTGTTATACCTGTTTGGTTGTAACGAGCTGCAAGCCGTGATATCATGCTCAGACTAACATTCAGACGCCTGGCAACAGAAGATTGATAATCTCCAGCTTGCATTCTTTCAATGGCGATGTTCCGTGTCGCAGCGTCAAGACGTGGCGTAGTGATTTGACCTTGAAACTCCTTCAAAACGAATGCCGATTTCCGAAAGTAATCTGGATTTTTAAAGCCAGGCAGTGCATGCTCTTTGCTGCCCAATTTCAACTGGAAGGTGATTGTTGTTGCGTTGTGGCGATACCTTTTTAATCATTGTAAGAAATTTCATCAAAATCAACATTTTCAGGTAAAGTCGATTTTGTACTAAAATCATGTTATCAACACTTTTGTTGCATATTTTGACGATTGTTTGAACCAGGGAGACTATATAAGGCCTGTTGTAGAGTATCCCTGTTTGAACACAATAGGTAATTAATAGATTTTAAAAAATACAAAACACCTAGGCGTTGCTTTTTTGGGATAGTATATTAGGGTTGTGGGCGAGATCATGTATCATGTACCATATAGCGATGAATCACAATGCGGCTGGATCTGTTGATAATATGTTGAGTGCTTGGCTAGATAATGCTTTATATACCATGGACCGATGAATCACACTGCGACTGGACCTGTTGAAATAAGTCAAGTCAAAACGTTGATTACACAACAGTCTTGTTTCCTGTTGACTGGGTTCCGTCCTATTGCGCAACTTAGTACAATAACCAGTCAAGAATTTTGAGACCAGTTCATTTAACTGGATAGTTTAAACTTAAAATTCATTTGTAAATACCATTTTCTTATGAAACAAAAAATTGGAATTCAGTGTAACAATAATTGTCTATTTTCTCTTTCACACGAGAAAATTCGGATCGGCTGAAAAGTAGGTCATTATCTGAATAGGTTAATGAGACTCATGTTTCGGTTTAGTAAGTGCAGTGCGAGATAGTATCTAATATGGACCGATGGATGACATTGTGGCAGAATCTGATGAAACCCCATTGAAAATCAAGTTTAGTTTTCCGCCGCTTTAGCAATATTCAAGCAATATCACGGCGGGGGACTCCAGAAATGGACTTCACATATTGTACCCATGTGGGGACTCGAACCCATGTTTTCGGCTTTTATCACTAGGCTATTCCAGCGCCCGCAACAGACAACATATGATGTTTGTTTGACCAACGAAACATAATATGTGTACCAGATGGTGTAGATGGCTCTACCACAAGGTAATCCAATAGATATATTCAGACAAGTTAATTTCATTGCGTCTTCATAATAACTCGTAATTCTAGTACGTGGAGCGGTGGGGTAGCCTAGCGCTTCACTCCGAAGATCCGGGTTCGATTCCCCACATGGGTACAATTGGAAGCCCATTTCTGGTGTCCCCAGTCGTGATATTTCTGGAATAATGCGAAAAGCGAAGTAAAACTAAACTTACTCACTATACCAGGACGTACCTGCGGCTTCACAACGAGCATCCGGGTTCGGTGTTTTCACCCCAATGTTATTACAGGTCACATACAATATCCCTTTTTTGTTGTAGCCTGTTTCACACTGGAAGATGTGGGACACCGCTCCCCCTGACCGAAAGCTAGCTTCCCCGGTAGGAACCCAGTGATCGGGGACACCAACAGTCCAGTCCCTGCAAGACGGATCTGCAATACATATTTGTGATGAAGGGCATTTAGAGTGAGTGAGTTTAGTTTTACGCCGCACTCAGCAATATTCCAGCTATATGGTGGCGGTCTGTAAATAATCGGATCTCGACCAGACAATCCAGGGATCAACAGCATGAACATCGATCTACGCAACTGGGAGCCGATGACATGTGTCAACCAAGTCAGCGAACCACCCGATCCAGTAAGTCGCACTTTACGACAAGCATGGGTAACCGAAAATCAGTTCTAACCCGGATCTTCACGGGTTCAACACTATGAAGAAGTAAACCCAGTTTAGATTGGATTTCAGATTTTACAAAATGAGTGATAAATTTAAACACTTACGATAGACGATTTCTTTGCAATTTGACTCCGATGTTAACTCCGGGCTGATGTCTTCTAAACCTGTTTTTTGTTTGAAGAACAAACACACTCCTCCTTCCCTCCTAGGCCTGACATTGGTATTGAAAATTCCACACTCAGTTATGCTGCCAGTACACGGAGCTGTGGTAGTTGCAGGAGACATCCAGTCGCAGTGGACAGCAACTGTACAGTTATCATCATCGGTTATACACTTTTTTTGACAAAACCTTTGACCCTTGTTTTCAACTCTTTTGGTGAACTCAAGCACCATGTTGATTCCAAGGTTCATGTTGGAGACGTCACTGACACCAACGTTGTTGTATGGTGTCCTGGTGGATATAGTTGGGCTCTCGAAACCACTTGGAGGCACTATCTCTGCTGTTGGAAGCGCTGGAGCCGAAGCTGGAGCTGGAGCTGGAGCTGGAGCTGGAGCTGGAGCTGGAGCTGGAGCCTCAATCGTTCCTGAGACATTTAACCAAATAACAGTTTCTAACATTTTTGTTTTCAAAAGTTCATAGTTTGTTGGACAAAGGGATCAGCATTGCCATTTAATATTTCACATCTACCAATGAGATATATTCTGATGTCATATTGATTTGCGTTTTCCTGTAATGACTGAACGTACCAGGTAGTCTTGTGCCCGAAAATGAGGAAAATCATCCAGAACGTATAAACACGTGTCATTTTAGTGAGTCTGGTTTAGGGTCACTCAATCACTAAACTTTATATATACTGACGAAAACAAGTAACTGTGCGTTATACAAAATCCAATTCTGCAATCATGTAATGCATCTTTCATGAACATTCATGAACACATCTTCACCACATCTACTGGCAAACAAGGATAAGTTGGACCGGCGCAGAGAACGTGTTTACGAGAAGTAGTATGATGCACGGCAATGAGCAAACATTTGGTTTGTGAAAGGTAGAGCAGATGTAGGCTATAAAAAAAGTAAGGCCAGAAATACTTGGAAAATGTTTTTTTTCTTCAATATGAATATGATGAATTTGACACAAGATAAAAGCACATATATGATATATGTACGACTCTCCCTAGTTGGATGTTACAGCTCAGATGAAACAATGCACTTGAGGGGTGACTTCACAGGAAGACATTTTAATGTTTTAACAACATTCGTAAATATTCTAAGTACAGACTGTAGTTTTGAAATACAGACTATAATTATTCATATAGTATCAACTAATTAAATTGCATAAATGATTGTAAAAGGTTTTGTTTGTTGAACATCTATATGTGAAAAAGATGGAACTCTTGTAGTACATGTAGTTATATTCAAAATAATTACGTAAATAAAGTCTTAATTCAAATCGCATAGATAATCTTGTTCACCCATAGAAGTTTTCACATGTATGAGCACTGAACTGGCAACCTGCGACTTGATATCTCTGCAGAACAATTAATTTCGAATTTATTCCAGTATTTCATACTGGAGAAACAAAGGGAGAAACCTCTCGTCAGATTTGACAGGGTTTACTATAGAATGTGTAAAGCCCCTAATTTGACATATAGTCAGTTTTACAAAGTTGTAAACATATCAGTTACCTCAGGTGTCGTGTCAAAATCAAAACCAGATAGGAAACACAAACTGGATAGCTTTGATAAGGGTGTCATACGCCGTGCAGTATATAAACTGTATGAACGCAAAATCCCACCGACGTGTACTAAAATACATGAGTTCAAATATACAATAAATGTCTCGAAAACAACACTTATTGTAGTTCTGGTAGAAATGGGGTTCAGGTACACCAGAAGAGGAGATGCCAGAGCTGTGTTTAGAGAAATGTACTCAATCCTGCCAATGCGATCAGCTTAGCTCAGAACAGTTGAAGAATACCGCAATTTGGGGTTTCAAATTATATACCTTGATGAAACCTGGTGTAATAAAAATCACTCAACCGATGGGATGTGGCTTCCTTCAGATTGTTCTAAGGCACCAGTGTTACCATCAGGCAAAGGTAGACGCCTGATCATCTTGCATGCTGGTACCCGTAGCAAGGGACTGATTCGGGGTTGTGACTTTGTTTTTGAGGCCAAGAAATCTGATGGTGATTACCATAGCGAAATGAATGGGCAGGGTTTTTGGATTGGTTCGAACATCAGCTTTTACCGCAGCTGGACGAACCAAGCGTTATCATTTTGGATAACGCCAGTTACCATAACCTGCATGTCCCTGGTACCATCACACCCACCATGAGCAATCTCAAGGCTCAGTTGCAGGATTTACTCACTTCCTGTAACGTGCCTTATAGGCAATCAGAAACAAAGCCCCAGCTTATGGATAAAATCCGGCAGCACAAAAAGCCAATCCAGTACAATCAAGTACAATCCAGTACATCATTTACGAACTAACTGCAAAACAAGGCCACATAGTTCTGCGTACACCAGTACGGCACTGTGAGCTCAATCCCATCAGCTGATCTGGGGTAACTGTGAGAATTTTATTGCTCGCAATAATACCACATTCACGCTTTCAAACGTTAAAGAGCTTGTGTATGCTTCTTTTGCGAGAATTACCCCAGACGTATGGCTAAAGGCTGAAGGTCGTGTTCTCAAAATCGAGGACGAAACCGTCTGCGGGACGGCGTTAACGCCAGCCGAATTGCACTGTTGAGTCCTCGACAAGCAGTGATACTGACACTTGATATTTTGAGACGGTCCCTGACATGCACTGCCCATGCGTTACATAACGCTGTACACCCTGTGCCTGCCAGGTGGGCAGGTGCCTTCAAAGATGTTTCTTTGAAGTGTTTCTACCATGGATTTTCTGCGTTTTTCGATATTTTGAGTAATCATTATGATTAGGGAATGGTACATCGTGATTACTCATATTCCATATTAGGTCGAGGTGGTATATGATTGATTATATATGAGTTTGGAACCATATGAAATACCAACCATAAACAAATAATTGCCAAAAGCATTTTCCAATAATTTCTGGCCTTACTGCCTTTTTGGTACGTGCTCACGCTCGTGCTCATTAACTCACGTTGGTGTAGGAAGTCGCACTACACCATCATGAGAAAACCTCGGGCCTTAGCTCCACATTAGCAAGCGCCAGTGGGCGGCACTCATACATGCTAATACGGGTCAATTGTCAGGTCGGTGCTCAACTTATCCTTGTTTGCCAGTAGGTCGAGATTCAAAATTTGCAACAGAATGTTCATGCACAGCGGAAGTTTCAATGTTTGCAGGTGATTTTGAGAATGACACGTGTTGTTTTGTTTTAAAGTGAACAGCAGAAATGAGTGTTCAGCTCACGAAAACTCTTTGTTTGGCGTCTTCGCTCCATGATCGTGTTGAGGACATTACTGGCGCAAAACGAAATTGTCACTCATTTTAATGTTCATTGTTCTATCAAACATTAAATGAAGCAAACAGACTATTAGCAAGAGGTGAAAAGCACGTTATTTCATTCAGTTAAAATATCTGAAGTGTGAATTCTGAACATGTCCCAAAGTGGCAGTCTAAGCCCTACGGTCGTGTTGATTTACTACCGCTTGTGGTTAGAAATTACCAAGTTAATTGACATCGAATGCAAATCTACGATTTCACGTGCACTAATGTATGATATATGTCATCCGGACTCCATCGAAGTAATTAAATTCGTACTGTGACGTAATTTAGGAATAACGTCAAACTAAAACGACGTCACAGCTAAAGATTGTTGACGTCATTTGATCACTGTGGTTTACTAAGGCGTTGTGTGCACTGGTATGAAAGGGAGCTGAGAAGATCAAATAATATTTAAAGGATATTTTCAGCAAAATCTGCATTATGCTCTTCATTTAACCACCATTCATCCTCCAAACTAATACTGGTGATACGGGGCATGGGTAGCCCAATAGCTAAAGCGTTCGCTCGTCACACCGAAGACCCAAGTTCGATTCCCCAACTGGGTACAATGTGTGAAGCCCATTTCTGGAGTACCCGCCCTGATGTTGCTGGAATATTGCTAAAGCGGCGTAAAACCAAACTCTATCACTCACTGACTCACCCACATCTGTCAATGGTCAATAATCAACTTGGCATGGAAACATGAAGTAAAGGATGACGTATCCTGCGACCTGGAGTACTGAATACCGCCTCCGTGGTGTAGTGGTTAGAGCGTCCGCCCGGAGTGCGGAAGGTCGCGGGTTCGAACCCCGACCGCGTCATACCAAAAGACGTTAAAATATGGTACTTGTTGGTCCCTGCCTGGCGCTCGGCATTAATGGGTACAACAAGGACTGGTCGGCTCGGAGTCCGTATACTGTGTCTGAGGTGTGTATTCATGCTTCACTGCGGTATGGTATCTCAGTGGGCTAGCACTATAAAACCAGCTTCAGTCTGGGCTAGTACAAGCAGCCACACATACACATACACACGCATGCACGTCGTCATATGAGCGAAATATTCTCCAGCGTGACGATAAACCCAATTTCACCTCACCTTACCTCACCTCACCTGGAGTACTGAACATAATGTGCACCCTACTTTGAATACATGACTCTGAGTATGACTTTAAACAATTGATTAGCTTTTGCATAAGCTTATGATGGGTGCCAATTGTGGGGCAAATGGCATCATCAGTATTGTGAGTAAGTGAGTCAATTTTTACGAAGCTTTTAGTAATATTCCAGCAATATCACAGCGGGGCACACCAGAAATGGGCTTCACACATTGTGCCCATTAAAATTGATCTTCAGTAACCCATGCTTATCCTAAGAGGCGACCAACGTGATCGGAATATTGCTGAGTGCGGAATATAACTGAACTCACTCACTTACTTAAGCGTCACGAGAATACTTATTGTGATAGTGATTGATAAACATGCTCCTCATATGGTCGGAATTGTAGAATCGGCTATGCGTTTAGCAGATATTTCTTACGGAGGACTATAGGCTTCTGTCACTTTATCTTCTGCGTGTATCAAGAGAAGTTAATTGGTCTTTACGTCTTGTTGCTATTCAGGCAAGCATATATTGGTGGTCTGCATGTGGCCACACACATTTTGGCCAATATGTGTCTCATTGTAAATGCTGATTCGTCCATACGATCATGGAAGACTGAGGTAGCCAAGAGGTTACTGGGAATTCACGTATTTAGGCCCACACGAAATCTAGCCCAATTTTGATTTAATTCTTGGGTGTTTAGAGTGACGTCCCCCTTCCAAACGCCATGGCGAACCTCGACGTTTTTAACATTAGTAGTGCCTCTGCGAGGTTGTCACGTTTACAGAATATTTTGGACACCGGTTACAGGGCAGTTACTAGTGACAGAAATTGATCATCTTAACCCCTATGATGTGCATGCAGTTGCAGTTAAATTGAACCATGTGGTCATTCAATTTTAAATTTATAGACCAGTTTCCTGATAAAAGAGATAAAAA